ATCACTAGCGCCTTGAAAGCTGTCTTGATACCAGTCTTGTTTGAATAACCAAATGTCCTTTTAATCAAGCCCAACACCTTGTTAGCTTTAGCACAAATTGAGTTAATGTGATAATCCCATGATAAGGACGACTCCAACCAAAGTCCCAGGTGTTTGTGGTGGTCCACTTCCGGTAGTAAGATGTTATTCAACGAATATTGACATCTTATTGGATCATTCTTCCGTGTAATGTGTAGGACTTCGCACTTCTCGGTCTTAAGAGTAACAAGCCAACTCTTGCACCATTCAGAGGCAGATGTCAAATCCTCTTGAAGTAGATCGCAATCCGATCTATTTTCTATGTGTCGATGAAGGACAGTATCGTCAGCAAACAAATCTGAGTTGCAGGTTACTGAGTAAGGAAGATCGTTGATGTATGCAAGGAACAGCAAAGGCCCAAGTATACTGCCTTGGGGCACACCAGATGTAAAATAAGAAGAAAAAGAAGCGCCATAAAGTGTTTTCACTCACGTGGCCAGCATCTTTGCAAATTTATTGGAATAAAGGAAAGCGTTTGCATATGGAAAGAGTTCAACTCCCACAGGATTGGCTTGGGACACCAACATGGCTGCCGTTTCATTGTTTTGGGACACCAATATGGCCGTCGGACGTCATGTGAAGACACATGTGAAAACACTCTATATCGCGGCGTTCCAACGGAAAAATAGGGGACTGTGAACAGTCTAGGAAAACATCTACCAAAACGTAAGCCACAGGAACCAATTACTCCATCTGCGTGAAACAGACCAGCTTCATAACCTCCTATTAACGTGAGACTCAGCGCGGCCGTAATAAGATTTGCGCAGTCAAAGTTTAGAATACTCCATGCACTGCGTTATACACGCTAAACAGACAAGTAAGAAAAACCAACATTGTCCAAGCTGACTCTAAGGCCACGTTTCACACTATTGCGAGCTAATTCTCTCTTGTCACGAGCCATGACTCGTCTTTGGCCTGTCAACTCTTCTAATTCATTCCAAATCGAGCAAATCACAAATTGCGTCAGAAACTAGCCAATCAAAAACGTCGACATATGTTCTTGCAACTGCGCGAGATTCCAGCACGATATTGTGAACTAATTCGCAGACGCTCTAAACAAAAGATTTAGAGTGTCTGCGACGAAGGCTAAGTTTGCATTGCATTATGAGTTGTTATAACATAACTTTTTAAATTTTTCTCAGAAGGAATAGTTTCCCGGATCTTAGATCCAACAAAAGCTAGTGGCAGCTCCATAAATATTACTTATGCTTCGTCGATGATGAATTAAGGTTTGATTTAGTCTGATCTGACATGTTGTAAATATGAATCACAAAGTGCCTTCAACTAATCACAAAAAGCCGCCGTACAGATAAGTCGGCAACATAGATGAAGCCCGGTATATTTAGCACTGCAGGTAAAGCGATTTCGTTCTTTTTAAATGTTAAATTCAGAAACTGATAAGTACATGTGCAGCTTTTCATCCGGTGCGATAAGTAAGGCTTTAATTTAACTTTTGCATATTTTTAACCTACAGTTCAATCTATTTTATTCTGTTTATTTGCTGTTGAGATTAGACAGCCATATAAGCAATATTTTTGCAGCAGATTTGTTTAATTTATTGGCATCGTTAGAAATTTCTAAGACATTTAAAAAGTAACAATATATTTACAAGTGTAATGGCCGACTTCTTCTTAAAAAATGAGTTTAGGTGTATCGAGGTTTCCATACATTGATTTAAGCCGCTTTATATAGGATCTTGATACGTTGATTATTTATAAGCTTAAATTATCTTCTAGTTTCGATAAGATCATTCATAACTTTTCATTGAGTTATGTCTTCATTTAATTCAATCCACTTCTGAACAGTTTAGTAATTTGAAACTGACTACATAAAATTAAATGGATTTTAACTGCAGGAAAGGGAAATTTTATGCATGTGTATCTTCTTCTTATACGTACGGGTATATTAGGAACTGCAAAACTGACCATTTGACTTGATTGCTCAGTGTATCACTGCACTAGTATAGGAGCGTATATGAGTCCAAGCCCCGTTCATCATGATCAAGCCTGGGTTTTTCCTTTTCTCAGGTTTTTTTTTTTCATTTATTTAATTTTTTGTTATTTTCCTTAAGTAGCTGTGATGATCTTTCACGCGCGTGTTAAAATATTTCCAGTTCGCACGGCAGAATCTTTATCTCTGAGTGAAGGGACTGGGGTTTAAGATAGATATTGTTCTAATTTTTTTATTATTTTCCGTTCCCCGTTTCCTCTTTGTCCGTTTCCCGCTTTCTAACATCCGAGAGTTGGGGGTGGGGGTAAGAATTTACTGAGGCGTGACGCACCTCTTCAAGAACGCCGCTCGGTTTGAAAACAGTGAGTACGTGAGTCTTGTAAGTTAATCGAAACATAATTTCAGTCGGTACAATTAATGATAGTGATAATGACAGACAAGATGTACGAAAAAATCGGAACAAATACTTAGGACACGAGTATGAGGGAGATTTAATATACTTCAAGTATTGAAAAATCAACAAAAATAAATACTATACTACATTGGCGGTACATGGCATAGAATACATGTTGTTCTTCCGATAATGAAAGAGCAACTCAAGCAGAAGCGAACAGAGTAACGGACGCTGCACAAGAACAAGGCAAGTCATTTCTATTTAATTTTAAAAACATCATTTTGAATATATTATAAATTGTAGTCTCATTGAAATCCTATTTAAACCGCCTTGTAAAACTGAAATGAATCTCACTCACTCACGGCCGGTTTACAAGGAAGGACGATGACCCTGCATAAAAGTTGCACCCAGTTCAGATAAAGTGTCAAAAGACGGCTTGTGCTCACAAACAAAATTTCATAGGTAACCTAGCTACCCGAGTCAGCCTGAGCGAACTTTACATGCTTGACTGAAGTGTTTCAAACGCATGACCGCTGCAATAATATTTCAACATTTGAATATTTTTTTGTTAACCATAGAGCATCACTTAGGAAGGAGGGAAAGCTTAGGTTTGTGTGTAAGGGAATAGAATTAACCATGCCTTTAGTATAAATTTTCTTTCAACATGTTCTATTTTCAAAAGTATGCAGGTGTCAAAAACATATTATTCGCATCAACATAATACACTTAATATCAGATCCAGTGGGAAACAGTTAGCTTTTTTTCCCGAGAGTCCTAAAACAAAGCTAACTGGTTTCCGCGGGACCTAACATTAATTTATAAGTGTTTTCATTATATTTTTAGACTTTCACTTCAATGACAACAAAAGAATAACCGGAGCGAATCAAAACAGTCGACTGCATGGGTATTTATAAGAACACATATTTATTTCTCGAAACCACTGAATGAATGATTTACAAAGTACTTTCCTTATATTATCCGCATCTTTTTCCTCCACTAGCTGCTGTTTTTCGTCTGGGATAAAACTCTAAAAATCGTTGCTTTTTAGCTTGAGGCTTCATGTTTGTGTTGTTGTGTTCATTCACGAAAAAGAAAACTGGCAGTATTTTTCCCTCCTTCTGTCACACCACTTTCCTCCGTTCTTATATCCCGAGCGGGGTACAGTTGCTCAAATGTATCACGATCGGGATGCATTTGATTTTAGTCAAGGCCACGTGACCAAGAATCACTGAACCAATGGCCGTGTTTAGTTGAGTGAAAGTCTAGGAATATAACAACTTGTATTATCCAACCGAATACATTTTACAAAATTAATAGTTATATAGCCATTATAATCTCTGATGTACCCCCATGCTCTCTTGAATTATGTGTAAAATTCGGTCAAAACAAGAGATCCTCTCTTCGTCAACAAAAATTCAAGCCATTAAATTTACCTATGCCTCTCAGTTAAGATACAGTTCCCTCAGCTCTGCCTCATCACAGGCTTCTGGAACATTCAGAATATTAAGTGGGACAATAAATCGCCTATCGTATTTTCTCGAATAGTAGCCGGGGGCGATTATTTCTTTTTTCGCACAAAAACAGTGGGCGATTATTCGAGTAAAGCGATTATTTCAAATATTGTTCCCTGGAATTCGTGCCCTAAATATTTTGTTTTAATTTATTTCCCATTAAATCAAAAAATAATCACGTCAAATACGCTGAGCATGGGCTTTTTAAGAGTTCCAAATTTAGTTCTATGATTAATTTTTAGAGCTTGAAGCGTCACTGATCAGTTTTGCTGAATCTCAATTGCACTACAACTTGACAGGGAGGGGATAAAAGGAAGAGAAGATGGCCAGAGGGGCGATTATTCGAGGGGCGATTATTTTAAGTATTTTCGTCAAAAGGGGGGGGGGGGGGGGGGTAATCGGGGGGCGGCTATTATTTGAGGAAATACGGTATTTCGTGTTTTCGAGGATCATGCTAGGACATTTTACACGTATGTAACATTCGCTACTTCCCATCGGGCATGAAAAAAAATACTAGTACGCAAATTTCAAGAAAGCATAATTTACACAAGTGGTCTCATTGAAGCCAAGTGTAAAAAGGATGCAAACTAAAGGAGCAAAACAGGGAAAAGTGTAAGACAAGGATATGGACTGGTTAGGGCTTTAATCAGATGATCCGCAGCTCCTCTCATACTTCTTCCCTCTTTTCTTTGTTTATATGTACCATTATATCGGGTGTATTTAAATCTATGTTAAAGCTGCACACAGTTAATCAGATTTGAGATTAAGCCGATGAAATGTATAGTCTGTGTTCTCGAGCTCTGTATCAAAGAAGTTGACATAATTCCTCTTCTAGACAGTTTTGCTGACCTCTTTGCTCGTCACACGCAGCTTGAACTGACAAAAAACAGAAAAATATGTGCAAAAAACTAGATAAATCAAGGTGGTTTTCAATTGTTTTCTAGGATAGTATCTGCAAGATTTCATTAATATTAATAACAGTGATAAAAATAGAGAAGGTTATATAGCTACAGAGAGCTGGGAACTGATATTTAGATGTTGTTGAAACGAAATATGCAACAATGCGATATAAATCCAGCGTTCCAATGGTAGTTTGAATTCCTTGTGATCGATTTATAGGATGCAATCGGTCCTCCTTGGCAGATAATCTTTACTGTCCAATTTGGACGAAGCTCAGTATGCGGCAAGCATCTTCGAAAGCTCATTTTCATTGCTAAACACCAAACAGAACTGCTCAACTCATATTAATTGCAACACAGGTTAGTACGGCTTCGTTCTCGTATATCAATACAGGAAAATGTAAGAGGAACTTACGATCAGCGACGTACTGAATTGTTCTCATCATTATAAACACGATGTTTCCAATGACTTTCCATGAAGAGGGACACTCATTGAAATTTATACCCTTAGGAAGTAAATCAGTCATACAGAAAAAAGTTACTACTTGGTCAATAAGTACTTTATAGTTGACTTGAAAAGTTGCTTTAATGGCAACAAACTAGAAACCAGAATGAAAAAGATATTCTGCACAACCTTTTTCCACGTTCTTTCACGTTGTCTTTTGAGTGTCTTCGACTGAACAAATCGCCAAATATATAATAATCGCCCGTTTTCACAGTCGTTTTAAGAATTTGTTGATCAAATCTACATCTTCGGGGTTTGCAAATAACATATACTTGGGAATATTTTCAAAACCTTATACCTCTATGACTGCTAACTTTCGAATTCTCTTTAAACTCCACATAGACTTTGGCAGTGAGTTTTGCATGGACTTCTTTAATTTGTGACTCATCCACTCAAATACGTTTTGCAGTTACATTTTCTTTCAACTTAAATTTGGAACGTTGGCAAACCTTGTTTAGATAGCATAGGGTGCTGACGAGTCGGCGAGCACGTTATTTTACAGACCTTAAATCTTTAGCTATGTATAAAAGAGACACACCATTTGCTCTAACACTGAGAGATTGACGACTCAAAAGCCTCATGTATAATTTGCTTACACCTATCATAGAATTGCAGGCGATATTGAACTGTAATTTGGCTTACATTTATATAGTGTTTTATCCCTCAATTTTTCATTCCACATGTCGCTCTGTATAGCAAATCTTGTTTAGTTAGGGTGCTGCACGATTTTCGGTGATATCTTAGATATCTTTAAGTAGGTTTAGTTGTTTATTTTGGAACTGGTAATAACGTTGGCATTTGACATTTCAGAGTAACACTGTAGGCACGAACATTCTTATTAAGGACACTGTTTTATTTTTACAATCATTTCAAAACGGTCGTCCGAGCCACGAGAAGGTCTAGCTGTTCCAAGGCAAACGCGGCACCTTTCTTTCTTAAACCCTGAGTACCAGTGTATTGGTCCGGTCCAGGGAGTAGAACCCGCAACCTCACGCTCTGCGGACCAGGGGCTCGTTTCTCGAAAGTCCCGATGATTAACTGGGCCCGTAAAGCTGTTTGGGTTTACATGAAAGATAGACGTTTCAATAGTTTTGCATCTAACATGATAAATCTTTCAGGTAACACAAAAAGTTTTTGCCTTATTCTTATTAAATTTGTTTCGGGCCAGGCATTTAACACCTGCAGAGTTTCAAAATAATGTTTTAGGCGTGCAGTTTCAAAATTATCTTAATCGTGAAAAGGAAAGGTCTCTTTAACCTTTCAAGAGTCCCGTTCAAGTCAGGGATATTAGAGTTTTACGTCAGTTTTACAGCAACAATATCATCAAAGGTAGGAATTTTAAAGCGATTATTATTATATGAAAAAGAAAAACAGATCTAAATAAGCAACCTGTTGAGAAAACAAAATATTTGCATTGCAAAGCCTTGCTACTGCTTCAATACTATTCAGAGAATTTTAGCGATAAATATTAGTGCCCCCCGCATTTCTTTGGTGCCTAGTTTTCTGAGCGACTAATATGTAAGAAATATGATACGATGAAGAAAAGATAGAAAAAGGGACGGTTTGCCAGCGGGAGAATAATCAATTTAATCTTTAGCTTGTCTATTTAAAAACTTTCTTAAACAATTAGGTCTTTTGATTTCAATTAACCTCATCAGTTGAATCTTATCGGAAACAAACTTAAGGTTAAAACGTCTTGACATTGTTAGGAAGAATAAACTGCTGGAAGAGATTTCAAAACACGCGACAACGTGTTTTGATCGGTATGATATTGGCTAATAAATATTGTTTTGCTTTGAATTGAATCACTCCAATAAATTACTTCTATACTCGCTTCATACCATGATTAAAAAGTGCGCAGGTCGGTATGCTAGAAGAGTACGCTAACAGAACTCTCTACCTTGTATGTTTCCTTTTCCCAATGTAGACCTTCTTTAGGAAAGTAAAACCTACAAGCTTTGGAGGTTTGGTTTACTGAGCTTATCGGTGATTTCACTAGGAACCTGGAATAGAAACTTGTCTTAACTATTCAACACGCTAATAACGCTTGCAGTGATTTAAGTAACACTCTTTCCATCCAGTGTTTAGTGGACATCATCACAGGAATGACAGTTAAAAGGGTCTGGATTGAGGGCGGGGGGTAACAAAAGTCAGTTGTTAGTTAAAATTTTGGCCTTTTGTCAATTGTCAGTTAAATGATTATTAATATTTGACTATGCAACTTATTTGTTCATTTTTGATCCGAAATTAAATCCAAAAAGCTGTTTGTTATTTAAACTCTACTTTTAAAGGGTGTATTTTTGTGTTAAAACATTTCGACCAATCACAAGAGTTGCAAACAATGGCCAAGAAATGTTCACAATTTTACATGATCCGCACATACGATTTCTGTGTTACTTAGACTCAGACGAGATTTTGTTATAAGGAAGTTGGATAGAAAAAAAGGGATTAATATACATGCTGCTTTGCGAAGATTTCGTAAAATTTGATGTTTAAACCAATCAGAACCTTAGTAGAGACAATAGAAAAGTTAGCACCTTTTTGCATTCCGACGTGTTCACTGCGTTTTGGTCCTTTCCTTCTTATCTGGACCATTACTTAATATTTGACTATGCAACTTATTTGTTCATTTTTGATCCGAAGTTTAGCCAAAAAGCAGTGTTCTTACCTAGATATTCTACACTGGGGTCCACTGGACCCACAGAGAAGCTAAAAGGGGGTCACGAGGGAGAAAAGCAGGTCACAGTAGATGAGTACATCCTTCAAGATGGCGGAGCTTTAGAACGCATCATTTCACACGTGAGCATGCGCAGAAGTCGTCATTTTTTGGACGCCACTGATTGGGTGTTTTCTAAAGACGCCATCACCAATTAATGTTTACGTACGTTTTCTTATTTGGGCGTCGCCCAAAAAGTGTAATCGAGATCGCTCGTTTTGATGCAAAGTTGCAATAGGAACGCAATAGGTGCGAACGTAAACAAGCCAAGTAAACAAGCCAAGTGACGCTAATATCTGCCACGCGAACGACTCGTATAAGGTAAAAAGCATGCCCGAAAGAAAGCTCCCGCAGCGTCTTCTTTTTTTTTGTTGTTGTTGTTGTTTAGCATTGTTTTCCCTCTTTGCGCCCTTCGGACCCCTATGGCTAATTATAGTTCTGCATTTTCTGAATGCCTGCAATGCCGTGGTCTGGTAAGAACACTGTAAAAAGGAATGTATAACGTAAATTAAATAATTAAAGCGAAAACTGATGCAATAGTACCATAATTTTTATCTGTTTTGCAACTGATAGCGTTTCAAGTGGCTTTCCATTTCTCAAGTCTTCTGTTACTCTCGTCCACAGAAACGTTTTTGCTTGCCAGAGTCCAACATTTCCAACCATTAAGCCAATCAAAATTTAGACCTTCAGAATATTGGGACGCAGATCATGTGAAAGACGAGGAAAGACCGAATCTGAATCATCTCGGTAAAAATTTACAATTGCATTTGCAACATGTATGCTGGCGCGTTCTCTTGAGATCATGGGCAATTTCCAATTGATGGTCCTTGACACGTGATAGGCTTTACAGTAGATCGCTACGGAAATTTGCCTCTTTATCGTCCTGCTGCTAAGAGTATCCATTTAAGCGTACATTTGATCACATTGTCTGACGAAAAGAGTAGAACTTACAATACTATTAAAAGGCCATAAAAATCGGGTTTGTAGAAAATAGAGGACAATCAGGTCCTTTGTAAGTTGACAGTAAAACCTAAGGCAAATGTCAGTTGTTGGTTATATCAAAGGTGATTTGTCAGTTGTCAGTTAAAATTTTGGCCATTTGTCAGTTGTCAGTTAACCCCATCCACACCCTCAGTAAAGCCATTGAGACTCAATTTGCAATGCAGAGTGTCGAATAACGACGAAAATGCTTTATTTGTTGTTCATTCATTAAACAAGCTGCAATATCGTATGCCAATTATTGAGCATCAAATATTGAAAGATGTTGGACTAGGTATTGTAAACAAATGCCAAATTAAAATATGACAGGGTATCTGCCTATTGACCAGCCCTGCGAGTAGAGTCTCTTTCTGTCTTCTTGTGTGAGACTGTAAAAAAGAGGCTCTGCCTGAATCGCGTTAAAGCTTTGAGGTCGCTCTAGCCCAAAGTTCTGGACAAGTTAATCCTGTTCTCTCTCGTCAAACTGGCTTTGCGAGCATCCGTTGATCATATATAACCGAGCCCGCTTTAGCAAGCGCACAGCTGTTAGGCCTGGGTTCGAAACTATATCCTAGCAACATGCCGCGCATGCTCAACAAAGATCTTAGTCGATTCATGCAAAGTCTTTCTTGAGAAAGCCAAAAGAAAGGTTCTGCTGGCAGGGTGCTATTGACCGCTCACTGAGCTTTCAAAGTCCATCCGAGGCCACTTCACCTTGCAATTAATTTCAGGTTGAAGGGAATGACGTCACTTATAAAGCCAGGTAGCTAAGCATGACTCACAAGAATCCTGGCCTACATAAGGGAGGGGTCTGGATAGGAAACTTCGCCTTTTTTTCTTTTTTCAAAATCTAGTCAAGATTTTTCATTCAATTATTCATTAAGGTCGTAGTCGTAATTTTAATAAATGGTTGATAGGTTTTGTAGCCTGTACACAGAAGTTGTTTTATTTTTCTGTTCATTCTTTTCATCGGCGAGCTCGCGAGCGAAGTGAGCGGGCGAGAACGAGCTCAGAGCGCGAGAAAATGAAATAAAGAACTATTTTAAATTTCTTCTTCCCCCACCTCTACCCCTTTGCGCTGGTGTTCAATAAATCCCCTGCGGTTTATATTTTATCACCCGCGCTTGACGGACTTTGAGGATAAATAGAGGTCTGTTAACAGGTTAGAGGTTTCGAATGTTTTTCATGAATGAATGTTAGGGGGATGTTTTGCACTTTCACTGAACGTTGATTACAATCCGTTAGGTGCAGCATCTCAGTAACTCACAATGGATGTGTCAGACATACTCGTGCAAGAGCTGGTGGTAGATGGCGTTGGTCAACCAAATTACAGCTTACAAGTGCAGCTTTTTGAAGCTACAAGAAAAGGTGATCTTGAGAAAGTCAGAAGCCTCTGTGGTCAGCTAAAATGTGCATTGGACTATGTTGACAGTACTGGAAAAACCCCTTTACAGCTTGCTGGTGACCTGGAAAACGAGACTGTTCGAAAAGAAATAATCGAAGAATTACTGAGTAGCGGAGCTGACTTGGAGTTCGCTTTACTACACGCAGTTCGCGATAATGATGCAGAAATGGTGGAAGTTCTTCTTCAATTTCGTAAGCTAGCACTCCACTCAACACCAAAACGATACGTAAACCCACTAATTTTGGCGGCCTGTTTGCAGAATTTTCGAATCATTACGCTGCTGCTGGAGAATGGCTTCACTATTGGTGATACAAAAGGTGTCCAATTGTCCTCCGGTTCTAATGAAGTGTACAACGAAAAGCTTGAGCCAGCTGTAACCCGTTTGAATGAATACCGCGCACTTGCCAGCCCATTGTTTATCTCGGCGTCCTTTCTCCACGACGTGCAGAGTGGTCACGATCCAGTTTATCGCGCATGCGTCCTGAACAAAGAGCTGCGTGAAACGGCTGAGCAAGAATACGAATTTAAAAATGAGTATTTTGAGCTCAGCGATGGCTGTAAAGAGTTTTCCGTGGCTCTTCTGAAAGAATGCCATTCAATGGAGGAAATAAGATGCGTGATGGAGATGCACGACATATCGGATAAGGTGCTGCATGTAAATGGAAGCTTAAACATTCTGAAGTTTGCTATCGCCACTGGAAATGACAAGGTACTGTGGGTTTTATAATATTTTTTTTAATCAGTACTTTACCAACAAAAATTAATTTTTGGGGTGTTAAATGATCACTATCTTATTCTTTCTTTTGGCAACCCTAAAACTGAGGGGAGCGCCCATTGAATACTAATTTACTTGAAACCATTAACTTTTAATTACAAATTTATTCACAAATCCACTTTATTTTAACTCAATGTCACGAAGGCTTGCTTAAAACATACACTTTTCGCTGGTTTTGTTAACGACCAGTTTATACGATATATTTTTACCCGGCCTATCGTTTTAACTGATCCGTCCAATGGAAGAGCAAAAATGAAACAGTCGGTTTGAAACCTGACCCGTATTTGCGTTTGCCATAAACGTAAGTAAGGGCAGTGTTTGGTGCTACTTGGTCAATCCTGCTACCATAAATTCCGCAAAATTTTGTCTTTTAAAGACTGTTTGCATTTTTAAAATAAAAGTTTTATTAAAGTTTCCATGGAATTCACCCTGTAAATAGTACTCCTTTCACTTCTATACATTATTTTCCACGGTAATAACTTTAAATATTTTTCGTTTGTGTACCTAACTTCTAGTTTGTCAGCCATCCCTTCAGCCAGCTGATATTAAACACAGAGGTCTACAGAAATGCTTCCTTCATGGAGAAGAGCGCCTGGAAGCAAGCTGTGCTTATACTACTGGCGGCTCTGTCATACCCATTACTATTCGTGGTCTGGTTTCTTTTTGAGATCTGTTTTCCAAGTCATGATGTGGCCAGAATGTTCCATTCTCCATGTGTGAAATTTCTCATTTATTGCGGCTCCTATCAAACGTTTCTTTTCCTGCTAGCCTTTGCATCTTTTCATTTTCAGAGTGGGTTTCTAGACTACAGCATAACAGGTAAATGAAGTGGAGGAAAACCAAGAGATTCTACCACAATATAAATATATATGTATATATGATACATGACTGGCACATTGAAAACCCATAACCCATTGTCGTAAAACTGTTGGTATTTCTCCCGCGAACGTCACCTATTGATATGAGGCAACGAGAATTGCATTGGTTCTAGCAACAAAAGATTCTTTTGTCTCACTTGTTCCAAATTAGAATAACAAAACAATGTTTGTAAACAGTGATGTCTCCCATTTAAGTTTCGTTTCAGCTCAGTGTCGAAAACATTTTATGTCACACATACTGAGATGACTATTCACTGTAAAACCACGATGCAGTGGCAGATCCAAACCTTCAGATAAGGGGGGGGGGGGGCGGTCATACAGACCCTGAAATAAGGGGGGCGGGGAGGTGTCAAGAAAACCTTTTTTTGGTCCTTCGGGCCCCAGTTTGGTCTAAAAATAAGGGGGAGCCTGGGCCCCCGGGCCCCTCCCCTGGATCCGCCACCGTGTCGTAAACTTTGGTACGCAAATGAGTTCCAGCCAATCAGAGGAGCATACGAATTTCTCCTGTGGCAAGCTCCTCCAATCGACAGAAACCACACCGTTGCCATACTAGGGCTGATTTGAAATCCACCGGCTGAAATGATTCCCAGCATGTGCTGGATTGGGCTTTCGATGGGGCTGTTTTGGCTTAAAATCTTTTTTGTTATTATTATTTTACAGTGTATACTCTAACCCGTATGATAATTTTAAACATTAGCTTTTGAAAGTTTACGTAGTTTTTCTTGTCACTTCACGATGTTTGGCGGCAAATATTTTATCACTCACTAAGTTTTTTTTATCACTTTTTAAAGATTGGATTGTCCTCGTTTATGTCATTGGCCACCTAATAGACATCATCAAAGACGTTTATCAACAAGGCAGAACTCATTTCTTTTCTTCTCACTGGAACTATCTGGCTGTAGCTTCAGTGACGACATTTGTTCTCCACTATGCCATTTGGTGGACAGGCCGATCAATTCTTACAGGTGATCTACAATCAATGAAATGGGAAAACCATGCTCATGATCGCGGGTACGCAACCATGCTCGTCTCGTACTGCGTTTTCTCTGTTGCAATCCTGTTGGCTTTTGCACAAAACCTGTCATTTATTCAAGCTAACTCCAACACTGGTCCACTACTACAAGCTTTCATAAGGATGCTAATAGACGCGGCCAAGTTCTTCCTGTATTTTATTTTCGTCTTTGTGGCATTTGCTGTTAGTTTTGCGAAGCTGTATTTGCAATATGACAAAGCCAGACAGCATTTTCATTTGAACAAATCAGGAACAAATCAAAGCGATCCTCTACATCTAGAAAGGTGCGTAAAACTGACAGTGGTTATATAGACTTCCGCTTTATTCACATAATTATTCTCTACTCAGTCATCGATGTAAATTTAATTGATTAACAGCGGGAAGGAGGGGGTGGGGGAAGGATCATTTTCCTACTGTTAGGAAGCGACCCCCTTGTATGAGAGGGACCAGGAATTAACATCTCTTTTAGGACAAGACTTTTATTCATCTAACTTCAACTGCTGATGCTTAGTTAGCTTCTCGCACGATACTCTAACGCATTGACAACGTTAATTTGAAGGTTGTATTACTGTCTACGCGCATTCCAGTGGTGAAAGCATGCAGGTAGATTCTAAAAGACTGCACTGCTCTCTCTAGCTCTGAGGCCAACCGACCTGCTTACAAAAAAATCCAACCAATCAAAACCTCTTGTTTAAGATCTACTTTTGTTTCGTACTCTCCTCAACAGCAGCGTGGCTTCTTTAACTTAGAACTCATAAGAATGAATGAATTGTGGACCTTTCATAAAGCGATTTGGTTATAGATTCTACCAATTACGTGCAATTGTTATTATTAGGTGCTCCTGTTATGATGATGATTTTAAACTCCATTTTCCACTTGTAGATTTGGCAACAGCATTGGTACTATCTTTTGGACGCTGTTTGGTCTCATTGACGAAAACAGTTTCAAAATAGACGTGGATGGTTACGGCGCTGTATGGAGAACAGGCATGACGTTGTTCGGTGCATTCAATATCATTGTGGTTCTGGTGGCCCTCAACATGCTGATCGCGATACTTAATGAGTCATACACCAGAATAACGGTAAGTCAGAATTATACCCTGTGTAAACAAAAGTTTTGCTTTTTAGTTTTAACTGGTAATTAACTGCAGCCAGGAAGCTTAGGTTGGCCCCTCGCAGCTCCTCTCTAAAGGTTATGCTGCAACAGCTTTTTTTTTATAATCGAGGGGGTTCTTTTTTTTTAAACTCTTGGGAACATTTCACTTGTTGTTCAAAGCCAATGTCTGGCTTCTTCCAGAAAAATATCTATCCCTTCATTGGCTTTAAGATCCCAAAACCACTCGTGGTTACAGAAATCGTTCAAGGAATGCCACAAAATAATTATACCAAGCTTAGATCTAATACTTACGATACAATTGAAGTTTCGACCATGAAACTATTCCGATATGTTAAGCACAAGGAGTTGTAAGGGCTCATCAAAAGATATTAAGACTACAAGGTTGACCCCGACCTTGAAATTTTTCAAACAGGAAAACTTGGATACCGAGTGGAAGTTCACGAGGACAAAAATATGGCTCAGTTGGATTTACAAGAAAGGTGTTCTTCCACCGCCATTTAATATCCTATACTTGCTGCTTCCAGTCCACTGGTTAATAAAGCATCTTTTAGCAGCATGTTTGCCTGGACATTTCGTAAGTAACAGTTTATATATGTATCGAGATATTTAAATGGGATACATTGTTTAGGGCTCTTTCTAGGGAATCATTTCCAAGGCCAGTAAAAAATAAACGGTAAATACAGCAGGTAGTAAATTATTGAGGTGATATATATCATACAAGTGAAATAAATTATGGATTTAAAATTCCCTGAAAGAATAAAGATAGCAGAAAATAAGTGTGCCTCAAGTACATATTATCAAAAAAGGTCATCAGTATATACACAGTCAGTGGTCTGGTTTCAAAAACTCTGCTTGAAAGTAGTAAACAAGGCAAAGAACGATACACGAAAAGAATGCAGCCCACCTCCATCGCACCCGTCACTGTCAGCACTTGGGAGGAGCGACGCATACACAAAGAAAAACATTTTTTACCGAATTGTCGAGTTGACAAAGGCAAATAAAGGTCTACCCTTTTTCAATTGAGGTGAACGAAAGGGGTAAAACTATAATTTGACATGTATGAAAATTCCGTAAAGATAAATTTGTGCGCACGCATGCATGCGCATGTACTGTTTATGGCTACATGTACGTTTTTTACGCATGAATTGAACCGTCAATCAAAAAAAAATCGTTTTTAATGGTTTTCTTTGTGATTCCGTTGTGATTCCTCTTGTGTATATACTAAAATAATTATATTTTTGGTGTCGGTGAATAGGGGCCGTAGAAATATTTACCTTGCTGCTTTGCGGCAACTACTGCCAATACTCACTTTGATTTCAAAGAATAATTGTTAAATATAGAGAGACTGATTATCCCTCTTTTCTCTTCCTCTAGTCCTCTTTAAAACGGACGAAAGGAAAACCCTACGGAACAATCCGGAAAAACAAAAGGATCGATGTGAAGAAGGTATGTTGGCCTTGAAAGAAAAATTGTCATTTGTACCCACGGAGCACTTAGAGGTTCATATGAACTCGTGGAAACGTGTCTGTAAGTTCCAGATCGAATTGGAATTTGCAAGTGTTGGTTTTAAGGAGAGGGGGAAACCGGAGTACCCGGAGAAAAACCTCTAGAAGTAAGGGAGAGAACCAACAACAATCTCCGCCCCCATATGGCGTCGACGCCAGGATTCGAACTTGGGCCACATTGCTGAGAGGCGAGTGCCTTCATCACTTCGCGACCCCAAGTTTAATGAGGATGATGTTCATTCAGCCCATGACACAGTAGACTCGGGAAAAAATTCCGAGTTCTCTCAACAGGAGTCAAATCTATTATTTTCTGGCTGCTACAATCCTGGACAAAATTCCTTGGGACAGTAATGCAGCATTCATAATTTTCTGTACTTTCTGCTTGTCCTCCTTTTCGAAATTTTCTTGCAGCTCTTCTTTCATCCACCCTGCACAAAGTTGATACTCAGAAAAATTTACGTACGTCCAACGTTTTTTTTTGGGTGGGAGAAGGGATTGGGGTGTGTAAATTGAAAAAAGCCCCACGAATGCACAAGTGTCCCAAATCTTCTGTCCATGATTTTACCGCTTCAGATGTTCCGAAGCTGAGCTACAGCAGATTCAGTTGGGGCACAGCTAAAGCCATTGACAGACATCCTGCTTATACTGGAAGGACTAGAATCAAAATGTTTCGATTCGGAGTGAAATAAATATAACAAAATGGCAATCTTAATATGTGGGTGAAACGTATGACTCAGAAAATTGGAGTCCTCTAAAAAGCTCCGATAAGTTAAGTCACCTGTTGCTCAGTGGTAGAGCTCCTGGACTAATAAGCAGAATGTCAAAGGTTCAACTTCTGTTGGCTAAACTTTTTTCGAGTCGTATTCTAATATATTAACCAAACTTACAATTCACTATAACATTTATACTACGCAATCAAGTTATGTGTTTACTGCACCGATGTTACTTTAAAAATTATCGACAGCACCAAAAAATTCTCAGACACCAAAAATAATGAAAACAGGTGCATCCTCAAACACAATAGAAAAGTCAAATTCGTTTGCTGCTCATATGAAATGATAGACGACGAGCTTAATATTACGCTATGTTTTATTATTATTATTATTATTATTTATTTATTTATTATTTTTTGTGTTTGCATTTTTAAAGAGAAGAGAGATGATTCGCCACCTTGTCCTAAGGTACCTTGCAAAAAGATCGAGCGATGCAGAGACCAGGAACCAATCTACCACTTCTGACGAAAAAGAAAAGAAAGGGGAGGCAACTAAGAATCAAAAATTGGATAGCAGTCAATCAGACATAACTGAGGCCAACTACGAATCGAATCTGTAAAAGAGTTAATACTGTCCTCATTCTCACACCACACGCCTCCTTCTTTGCTCTCAATAAACACGGCTGTTCCGTTGCCCTGGGAGAGGGAGGGGCCGAATCTTATTAGGGAGTTCTAGCAACGACGACTTCGACGGCAACGAGAACGAGAACGTCAAAACAGCAATAGGTTTATTAAGAAAAACAAGTTTGCGCGTGCATCACGTTTTTTTGTACATTTCATTACCGTTGCTGCACGACTACGACGTGAAAATGCCTAATTTCACGTTTTATTGAGAACGTAAACAAGTGACCACGAAATTTTCTTTCTCTTTGTAAACTTGAGTGTTGTCTCAAGAAATCAACTCCCGGGAAATTTGCCTACATTAGAAATTTTCAGCGAACTGGAATAAACGCGATGAGGTTTGAAAAACACTAGTTCATTTTAAAACTGATGTGTTCGCTGCCGTAGCCGCCGTCGATGCTAAAACTCCCTGTTTAAAACGGGAAGGAAACGCCCGTCAGAAAAGTAGAACTCAGTCGTAACAGGAGTCCATTCTGGGCGTAGTTCAGGCCTTGTATGTTACCTAAAATAGGCTAAACGAAAACAGAGAAGCAGATAAGAACTACAGCGAGTTAATTGCCCTTATTTTGGCCTCGAATGCTGCCTTCAAAAGTGAAAGTATGACAACGTTTGTTTTTTCTTTCCTTGTAATTTTTTAACACAAAACCCCAGACCAAAGCTGTATAGGTAAAAAAAAATTGTTTTCCTAACTAAACATTCTGCGTTGTAAGTTAAACCAAACGCTGCAATTTACACCCCTCGGCGAGACGAGGAGCATTTCCGTACCTTTATTCCATAGGATTTTCCCCCTGGCCTTATGAGGAGGTTATGGGGTCACCCACCCCTGACAAATCCCGTGTTGTAGATTAATTTTCCCATGAAACTATCCCCTGAGAATAGTCCTCAAGTTTCCACTAGAAGTAAGCCTTAAAGCTACATCCAAACGGAGGTAACAACTACCAACTTTGTTGGCCAAACAAAGCTTGGCCGGTGCCAAAATTTGCCCAAGAAACGCAACTTTACAGCACAGTAATTTTTAGGGAGTTATTATAACTGCAAAAATGGGGTAAAAATTTTAGGCATGGATAACTCCATTTTTGGGGTTAGTATTAACTCCTCAATTTTGACTCTACATCTGAGATTACTTTAACTCTAGAAGGAGAGTATTTTTTACTCCCTCAGAGGAAGAGTAATTGGGGTTAAATTAACTCTCCTCATTCGCGTTGTTTCCCATGACAGGAGTAGCTGACTTCTAAGTAAAAACTCTTCCTGAAAGATAGGTTTAGAGACAACAATAAACGTTGAGAGCTTGATACTAATACACAAATCAGCATATTTAATAAATGCACAAACGTTATGCTATTTTACTGTTAAAACAATAAAAATAAACTGTTCAATAAATAATATATTCTACATTCGCAGTCTTCCAGTTATTACAATGAATCTACAACAGAGCTATCACAATCGTCCAAAAATGAAGCAATCAAAATTATTTACAAGTTAAGACTTGACATTGCTTCAGTTAGCAAGTCAAGAAGAGCGAAGAAATAACTTAGTAAATGACTGTTAAATATCCTTGTGCTATATTCAAATTTGCACTGAATTTGTAAAAGCTGTTAGAAGGCTGGGCAAAATGTGGTTTTCACGTTACGTCATCGCCGCCATGCTGGTGGACGGGCAACAAAAGATCGCTCATTAGCTCCCTTTGTTTGTCCACCTGCATTTGATCATTTCACCATAATGATTGCTATTTTAGTCTCCCGAGAAAATGCATGAAAACCACCTATACCTTTATATATAATTACCATCTTCAATTTTACCCGTTCTTAACTTTCCAATATCTGACCTAGTTTTTTTCGCTTCTAAAATCTATTTAATAAAGCAGTTATTGTAATGTTTTTCACGGCCTCCTAGAGAGCAGAAATCGTGTGTTTCGGTGGCTATATGCACTGTCACTATCACGCACACGTACAGTCACACTCCAAAAGTGGCTCAAAGCCCTGATCGTCTTTTTTTCTCATTGCACATCAAGTAGAATATACTCTATTCTATTTTGTGATTAATCGATAGGGTAATGACTTCTACTTCATATAAAGCTTTGGAGCTAGCACGCTGTAAAATGTCAATTCCACTTTGGGCTAGGGAAACTCATGGCCACCTCTTCTTTGGCAAGTTGATCAACAACTTGTTGCTTCAATTCCGATCAAGAGCAGTTCTCAACCTGTCATTACTACGATTATCAGTTGAGTAACGCGCGGCGGAAGTTTTATAATCAGGTTTTAACGTTCAAATTGTGGTGTTGTCACAGGCAACTGGCGCTGTTTCCAGTGGCAACTTGTCGATTAGGTTGAGGTCATTAGCAGCTGAAGCGCGCGAAATTGCCAGAAACACCATTTTCTCTAGCATTTGCTTTTGCCTGTGACAAAAAGAGTATCAAGTGACAGTAGAGTACTCTGGAACGCAAGGAGACGGTCAGAAGTGGATGAGTTTTATGGTTTCAGCTTCTAAAATAAACTGTGGTCAGTATTCATTTAGATCACTGGTTAATGATATCAATTGTCGGTGTCCGAGCCTTCACTTTTTAAATGAGAGCACAATGCGTATTCGTTACTTGGATGATGAGGATAGTTGGATCAATCTAAATTTTGACGACCGTAGGGGTTTCACAAAGTTATGGCATTGTGCAAGAGTGGTTCCTAAAAGGGAGTTCAAGAGAGTTAAAACTACGTGCAGGAGTTCTAGGTTTCCCTGTCCAAGCTGCTGCTTAAAGTGTTATAAATTTGAATTGCAGTTGCTTTGGATATAAAGGGCCGCACACGTTATAGGTCGCCTATAGCTGGAGAGACTTTCTTGCAAATCTCTTCAACGTGTTTACCCCAAGAGAGTTGAGCATCTATGGTAAGACCCAGTGATTTGGTATAATCGACTCTTTTAATTTGGTCTTCGATTCTGATTTCGACATCGTCACGTCACATTGGGCAGATAGTCTCATAGTTTGTCTTGATCCAATAATCATTAGCTCTGTTTTAGCAACATTTAGAGCGAGCTTGTTAGCTTTCAGCCAACAGCTAGGGTTAATTCAGGGGTTAGAGCTAGCTTCAGCTCTGTTAACGTCTGAGCAGATAACCTAAGATTGGTGCCATCGGCAAACATTCTTGGTACGGCGCCCCGCAGGGAGTTGGGAAGATCATTAATGTAAATTAAAAATAGCAAAGGACCCAATATCCTACCCCATTGCACGCCTCAACTGAGGGTACGAGCAGATGATAGTTTGCCACTAACATTACATCTTTGGGTTCGGCCACTTCAGTATGACGAGAATCACTTTATAGCTGATAGACATCTAAGTATGACATCTTACGCAAGATGATCTCATGATCAATGGAGTCGAATGCCTTAGTAAGGTCAATAAAGACAACGCTATTTAGAAGGCCATTGTCGATGTTTACTGATCAAGCGTTTGTTGCCTCAAGCAAAGCCGTGAGCGTGCTATGTAGAGAACGGAAACCTGATTGGCAACTTAGTAGCAATTTATTAGCATCGAGATCATTGAATGGAAAAGTTGATTGTATACAATTCTTTCAAAAACTTTCGAAATAATAGGGATTACAGATATTGGCCTATAGTTGTTAGGATCCGATTTACTGCCCTTTTTAAAAAGTGGAGTCACTTTGGCCGTTTTCCAGTCGTTTGGATATATCCCCGTGAGAATAGACTTTGAGAAGATTGAGGTAAGAGAGGGTGCGACGGTACTAGAAGCCATTTTCAACAATTTACTCGGAATCATATCAAGGCCGGTGGCTTTCGCTTCATCAATTTCCGGATTGTCGCGCCGCGTTAGACTGGATTCTAGTTACAACATGAAAATGGTACGAAACTCAAGAAACTTGTAAATGGTAAACGAATTTCCATTCGGAACGTTCCAATCGGGAAAACGGGACTACCTTTTTAGAGGGCGCTTTCCATTTAGGAAAAAAAACCGGAAATTTCGGTGAGAGCAAAAGTGGAATTTCCGATGGGTAGAAAGTTGTTCCATTTGGTCGTAAGCCCCGGTACGTCGCGGTGCCCGACGGCCCAAGGAGTGATTAAGTTCCTGACATCTCGATCTACCCAGTATATTAGTTTGTTAGATGCCATAGTTTCAGAATAGGGTGAGATGAAGGCGACCGACTGGAATCTAAAGAAGAAGCGTCTGAATAGCAAATGGCGGGAAAAGCGTGTCAGCAGAAAAATTGCAGGGATTCTAGTCAGTGAATATGAACCTCTGAATAAATATTGCTATTACTCATTACTAAGTACTTACCAATTAATACAAGGCCAGGGCACTCGTGGTGCAAAAGTGCCTTCTTTGTAGGGCCTGCAAAAAAACAAACCGTGCATTGATACATGAGCTTGAGGGAAGCCATTTTGATTTGCTAACTGGCCGTGACAGATTTTCTTGCCGTGGACCTGGAACTGGTACAAACCACGAGAAACGTGTAAATAGAACACGAAATTCCGTTCGGAAATTCCAACCGGGAAAACAGGCCCACCTTTTCAGATTTTCCACTTTTTAAGAGAATTTTCCAGTGGGACGAACCGACGAAACGTTTTCCATTTACCGCCGGATCGGAAATTCCGGAAATTTTGACTAAATGGAAAGCGCCCAGAATTTCCGCAGTTGTTCCGGGAATTTTCCAGTGAAGCGAACCAAAAACTCGTTTACCATTTGCATCCCAACCGGAATTTCCGGGAATTCGTGGTAAATGGTAAGCAACCAAGAAAAGGTAATTTATGTCAAGGCATGTTACTCACATGATAACTCGCTAGGTCAGGCTGTATCAGGTACTTCAAATCTAGCCAATGAGGTTATAGGGCGGTGTCATAGTTAAGTAAGCATATTGTCGAGGTATTTACTCCAGTAATTCTTCCTCTTCTCCCTCGTCATCAACTCGGCCAGATCACGAGCAAAATCTTTTCAGGCAAGTACTTCATTTGAATCTTTTTTCTTAATACCGCCAATCCATGTTTTAATTCTGGGTCACTCCCTCATTCACCGTCTGCACAATTTTCTTCGCCGCAATTTTAATACGCCAATTGCAAAACATTCAAGTTTAGAAGGCGATCTGCTCATAAGATGGCATGGGATTGGAGGGTGAACGGTTTCGAAAACTAGGGAGTATGATTTATGTGTAGTCGAGGAATTCGCTCCCAATGTTGATTTCAGTCGTACGTGCGGCTTTAGAGGTGAGATTTTGCATCTATTTAATAGCGCTCTTTAGTAGAGATGAGACTTTCATGTAATAGGGGTTTCCGATTTAGAGGAAGTTTTGCGGAAGTGGAACGAGCCAGTTTCAAATGAGTTCAATTTCTAGCCTTTCTATACGTGAAATTCGTTTAACCCCGACTACTGTAAGTAAATTGCTGGGTTGTTTATAACTTCACCTTACGAGACCTCTTCAACCCTCAACAAATCACGGCACGTAAATAGTGCAAGCAAAAATCATAATACACCGTGAAAGTCGGGCTTTGCACTCTCAGAAACAAAGGTGCTGAAGTATGGAAGGCTATAATGTTTCTAATACTGGCTTTTTATATGGGGCGTGGGAAGAAGGTTTTCACCCTATTCTTTCTACCATCAAAACTAAGCAGGCACTCAAGGTTAGCTTTGAACTAGCTTATTTACGTTTGACGTAGCAAATATAGAAATAACCTGCGATCAGGCCTCCCAAAGAAAATGGGAAAATCTAAGGACCGCCTGATCGCAGTTTAATGAAGAAGAATTAGATATCGTGAGAGACTCTCTCCTTGCCCAGGATATCATCCAGCAAACAAAAGCAGAATTGTTTACTTTCTTCCTTGTTAGCGTATATGCTTTGTCTTTTTAACCCATTGTCATTGACTTTTTAAAACAGTTAGCAGCGAGTGTCAATTTATTTGCAGCATACGCGTATCGGCCGAATGCGACTGCGAGACGTAAATACTGCAAAAGAATCCTCTTGTTTTAGAAAAAATTTACCGAGCATGTTTGTGTTCATTTATCCTTTTACCAGCCAGGTATTTTGCATAAACAATGACATCATGCAAAGATTTACTTATATAGTGAAAAAAATCGAGATGACCTTTTACAGTATAATGGAATCAATTTCACTTCTCGGAAAAATGGCTCGAGCTTCCGCTAAATCTGAAAACCCTAATTAATTCAAGTGTGTATCGTTACTTATATCGGGTAGATAATTTGGCTCTCAAAGACAAAATTTAAGCCCGTTTTCAGTTATTGTCGTCTCTATAACCCCGAAAAAGCACCAGAACATTAGATTGAGACGCCGAACGTTACAGACGTGCAAGTGTTTCTAGCAAAAAACACCGTCGTCAGCCGAAATTTTAAATTGAAAGTTTTCTACCGCAACAAAAAGCCTAATCGTTTGCTAACTGCAGAACGTCCAGAATTTTAGATATTTAGCAGTTAGTGAATGAGACTAAGTAGGATATGAAGCACCAATTCTTCAGATCGAGGAGGGTGTTATCCACCGAGGCTGAAAGCAATGAGGTGATGATTGCAGCTGTATTAATCTATTCTGTGGTCAGCTACGAATTTTTGAAAGACGAAATTTCGCCTCGCCTAAACGAAATTTCGTTTCGCCAAAACGAAATTTCGTCCTGCATCGTGCCGTGAAATTTCGTTTCGATTCATCACCTTGCTTGCGAACAATAGATGCCACCGAAACGTCGCCGCTTTATTCAGCGAATTTCGCGAATTTCGGCAAATCTCGTTTTCATTACTTTTGCACAGTACTGTATTTATAGAGTAATACGGCAGCCCTTTTGGAGCCATGACAGCGGCAAGAATAACTGGCAGAAAACTGTTGTGGCGAAATATAGAGAACGCTTAATTTTCGGATGAGTTAAAACAAACTCCGAAAATGACTTAATTTAAGCTCTCACGATTTCAAATAACTCCCGTAAAAGGGATGTTATTATATAAGAGAGTTCATTAAACTCCTTTGGAGTAACTCCTCAAGATGAGCACAAACAACTACACTTTGTAGAGTTAAAGTAACTCTATCCAACGGAGTGAAACAGCTCTCGTAATAGAGTTTAATTAACCCCAGTAAACATGATAACCTCTAAAACAGAGTTATTTTAACTCCCTTGGGCGAGTTGTATTTTATGCACTTAAATTTTACTCCTTTATGGATCGAGTAACTTTTAAATCTTTTTGCGAGTTAATTTAATTCTTACAAAGTTAACTCCAAAACGGAGTAAAATTTACTCCACTGAAACTCTATTTAACTCCTTTTGGAAGTTAAAGTAACTCCCAAAAACATAACTCCACTGTAAGGAGTGACCTAAACCAGATGAGTCATCGATATGTCAGCGGCGTCTTACAAAATGACTGAAATGATCCCTACGACTTCCGTTCACTTGATCGATCGCAGCGAGGATGTTATATTTGAGTTAGTTTGAGTTATAAAACGGGCAATATTGTCGTTTCCAGTTTATTTTACTAAAAAAGGTTAAATCTGTAATATCAGCTGTATTGTATTGAACGCGCGGGTTGTGGTCTTTCTTAACGCTGGTTTCGGTCGATGTTATTTAGTGTCAACACGTCACGAAATCCTATCTAACATCGACCGAAATCTCACAGGAACTCGGCTGAGGCTCCGAAAAAACCTAAATTAAATAAATCTCGCGAGAGTAAGAATTCCATCTCAGTTTTATTGCTGTCATTAGAATCTCAAACAGTAGTTTTCCAGCTTTTCGACTTCCACTCATAAAGAAAAATCCTACTTCCACAGTCACATGCCAACATTGGCGCCAAATCTAAAGGGTTTTTGGGTATACGGTATACAGGGGCTTTTTAAATCGGGTATACGGTATATTGCAGCTTAAATACGGGTATTCGGTATATCACTTTGGGTATATTTGGATGAATTTTGGGTATTTTGGGGTATTTTGGCGATTTTTTTTCCGGGGATAATGGTATATCCCCCCCCGGCCGACCCAAGGACAATGGCGAGAGCAAAATCAAGTTATACAACGGGGGTATCTAGGAGCTAATGTCAAAAAGCGTATGAAATTGCCACTACTACCCGTTTTATGAATTTAATTTGATAAACAGACACGGGGATTTCGCGGCAAAAAAGGTAATCACTTTGTACAAGTGTCCTCCAGCTAATTTGTATTCTCCACGAGTTTACAGTATAAAAATTTCCAATCCCAAGTTAGTCTATATTTTTCTGATTGGAAACTGTGTGGGGAAGAGCAATGAAAAAACAAACCTTCTTAAAGCTGTGAAATGCAAACTGGGATGGAATTCACACTCTCGCGGGATTTATTTTATTTAGTTTTTTTCGGAGGCGCAGCCGAGTTCCGGTTAGATTTCGAGTTTCGGTCGATGTTAGACAGGATTTCGTGACGTGTTGACACTAAATAACATCGACCGAAACCGGCGACCATAAGCCGCGTCGATTCAATGCAATACAGCTGAGTCTATTACAGATTTAACCTTTTTTTAGGAATATAAACTGGAAACGACAATATTGACCGTTTTATATCTTAAACTAATCCTCGCTGCGATCGAGCGGAAGAATTAGTCATTTTGTAAGACGCTGCTGACATATCGATGACTCAGCTGGTTTAGGTCGATGTTATCTAGTGCTTTCCGTCTATTAACTTGATCCAAAAGCAAAAAATTGTAAATATACATTAAAAGTACTAAATAAAAGATTTACCCTGTCAAACGCCCTAATAGTTTTGTCCATGGTGTAAACTCACAAGTACTCTGCATGGTATGTTTGGCGAAATGGTGAGCAATTCACAAGAAAAGTTCCACATTTATTCACATACAATGATCTAAAGCCTCTTGCAAACGGACGCTACATTGTTGGCCAACAACTCCCCACATTGTTGGATGTTACATGTTAAGTCCGTTTGCACAATTTGTTGCCTATTGTTGCATGTTGTTGCGTGTTGTTGGTAGCTGTTGCCCAAAATTTGACACCGGTCAAACTTTTAGCTACTTACGAACGGACGTAACATTGTTGTTGGGAGTTGTTGTGCCCGTTTGCACGTAGATAAAAGTTTGACCAGTTTCAACAACTCCCAACAGCATGCAGCAATATACAACAGGGTGTGCAAAAGGACGCAACATGTAACATCCAACAATATTGGGATTTGTAGGCCAACAATGTTGCGTTCGTTTGCACGGGGCTGTAATTCTTGTTCGTTGACGAATATATTCATTCATATTCAACCGAGGGTCTGAATGGGGGGGTCCACTTGTCAGTTAAAATTTAGTTACTTTGTCGGTAGTCGGTTAAAATTTTCGATCTTTGTAGCTAGGTTGTGGGTTAACCCCAGTTAATAAGTTAAAATGCATGTTAATTATTAATATTTGTTATGTGTTTCAATCAGTTTCAAGACTTTGATCCCTATAAAACATGTAAAACTTGTAAAAATGCATCATTTGATTGAACTTAAACTTCATTATGCAACATGATAGTGTATTTCAGCAAAGCTTTTATTGCAAATGTGAACTTGCCTCCCCTGTTGATTACAGGGCACCATAAAAAGTAATGAAGAGCGGTTAGTTGGACACAGAGGGAAACGCCCAGTCTGACCTTTTGGGTACGTAAATTATTTTTGGTGAAAAATTGCAAGGGGTGACAGTTTGCACATCTATACCCGCGTGAAACAGTGTCTTGACCTTTAATATTTTGGCTCTAACAAGCATGTTCTTTACCATGGTTTTCCTTTGTTTTAGCAAATAAGGGGTGGTTCTTCAAAAAATTAGCAAAGTAGGCGTTGGTTTTGTATGAGATTCCACTTTTCCATTAAAGCTTCTTTTACAGTCGACACTAAGGGCTGGTATTAGGAAACTTAAAAACCACGACGACGACTTTGTCGACGACGACCAGAAGTGAGTTACAGTGTACTGCGCAAGCGCGACCAGTAAATTTCGTCGTCGTGGTGTCGTCGAAGACGCCAAAAAAAGTACAATCACGTCGTCCTGCAATCTACAAGCTTCAGCAGGTATAATGCACCTATCAATAGAGGATGTTAGCATCAACAACGAGTACGAGTACGAGAACGACTTCAAGCCGTACTCGTACTCGAAGTCGTTTTCTCAGCTTTCTATGTTAGCGATGACACCGAGTTCGAGTTTACAGAAAATAAAATTATTGGATTCTGCATGACTGGGCGCCAAATTTGAGTCGAGGTAGCGCTTCCACAACAATTTCGAAAACAAAAAATTACTCTAAAAAACGTTCATCGTTCGACGGTCCATCCTCCAGTTTTCAAAGGAAAATCGATTTTTCGAGGTAACTCGAAGGATGGTTAGTCGCGGTCTTAAAACACGCTAAAACCCATCAAATTCAACACAAAAACCACACTGGACAAAGAAGTAAGTATTCTTTAATGATATCCTCGACTGTTGGGATATTTTTGACCAAATAATGGCAATTTTTTGGGGTTATTTTGTCAGCCTGTGAGGCCCGTGTGGTGGAAATATCGCGTTCGGTTGCTTTTCCTCGACTTCAAAAGCGGTATTTTACATAAAACCTAATATAAGGAATGTTCAAGATGATAAAGAGAGGCTAGAAACGAAAAGAAACTGCATTAAACGATCGGAATTTACCTTTGAAAACCAGCTCTTCCCAGTCGTTGTACCCAATCCGAGTTTTTGGTGAGAATTCGTCGTAGTGCAACTTGACAGGACGACTTGAAAACGTGGAGATGCGCAGAACGGATGCGCAGTACGCAAAATCGCTGATCTCGTTCTAGAACTCGTACTCGTTGTCGATGCAAACATCCTCTAATGTGTTGCCGGCGGGGAGGGAGGCAGAGCGTAGGATGGAGATTTGACTTTTTTCAAAATTTGCAATCAAATTCCCTGCCCACGGGCAAATCAGTCCAGTCAAATGCAACCAAATTTCCCCACGCTAGGCTGCATATTGCTGTCAATCCCAAGGCAAAACCTAAGAAAGCCACAATAAAAATATCTCCAAATAAAACTCCGCAATCTTTTATAAACGTTGCTGTATCACCAAAGATACATGTTCCTGTTACAGCTGCAATTATACTTTTTACCCATAATCCGTGTTACACTGCGTAGAATACATAAACCTTTAAAAGAAAGTCCACATTTTGTAAGTTTAAATATACCGTTCTTAGTAAAGGGTACAAAAAAAGTCAGTTTCGTAAATTTACACTGATTGTAGAGAGTGACCCATACGCTAATCAATTGTACTTGCAAAAATCGACTTGGTTTCTCTTTACTTTCGTTTACTTTGATACCACAGTATTTTAAGAGGTTCAATTGATCAAAAACACGCTAAGACAAACGAAATTTGAAGACAAAACAGTGAAATTCACTCAGCCTTCGCTTGTTCTCATTGGCCTCCATGAATTCCTGATATATTCAAACCGTACGGCGCATGCGTGAAGCGTGGAAATGGGAAACAGATGTTTCGTCTCAGTCTTTTTCGGCCAAGTGGGCAGTCAAATATCTCCACGTCTGGCGAAGAAAGATTCAAATATTACCTCCCCTGGGAGAACAAGATCAGTCAAATGCCCTACCCCAGGGCCAACAAAGACAAACAAATCCCCACCCCTGCGTCGGTGTTGGCACTGGTGCGCAAACGGATGCAACAGCTCCCATTAATGTTGTGACCTGCAGTGCATAGTGGGAAGGATACAACCCATAAGACTTTGTAAACCATGCGTAATGAGCGTGCGTGGCGCCAACAATGTTGGAAGAGCTGCGCAAACGGATCCAACATTGTTGCGCTACGCTTCGGCGATCACGCAACAAAAAAGAAGTGTTAGGAGTTGTTGGCTGAAAAGTTTGACCGGTTTCAAACTTTGCGCAACAACACACAACAATGTGCAACAGGGTGTGCAAATGGGCGCAACATGTAACATCCAACAATGTTGGGAGTGGTTGGTCAACAACGTTGCGTCCGTTTGCATGCAGCCTTACCATCAATAACGGTGAACACGTAAAATGCTACGTCAACAGTAACGTGTATAAGATCTTTAAAACAACTTATACAGAGAAACTTTGAATTTGTAACTCCAAAATGAACAAGTAGAATAACTATTTGATCCTCAGATAGTCTTTTCTGAATAACAGTCTTGGTGATCGTTTCTGAGCACTTATTGTGCGCCATATGCAAGTAAGATAGATAGATAGATAGATAACTTTATTTAAACTCGGTTAAAATTCCTTCAGCAAACTAAACTAACTCTGATTAAAAATATATTCATAAAATTTTAACTACCTAGCTATTTACATACAAAAGCTGCTTTTCAAGGATGCCGTGTAAAACTGTATTAATGTATGATCTCATTCAAAACTGTTGCGACACAGTTTGCGTTTAAAATCATGTAAAGAATCTGCAGATCTTAAATCACGGGGTAGGCTGTTCCATAGCTCAGCTCCGCTATAGGAGAATTTTCTTTAAATAATTGGTACGGGGCAGTGGACGGACTAATTTATTTTCAGTATTCCTCAATCGATAAGAAGTTATTTCGTCACGAGATACAAATTTAGATGTTAGATAGTCGGAAGTCATCCCATGTACGGTTTCACACATCATAATAGTCGTCGATACTTGTCTTTGGTTTTTAAGCTTACGCCAACCCAGTGCAGGAACAAATCGTCCACATTACAATCAGAATTGGCGGACATTAAGAATACGGGCTGCACGATTTTGGAGCCTCTGCAGCTTATCGGAAAGACCAATGCCGCAGTTGCTCCATACGACATTACAGTAATCAAAATGCGGTTGAATTAAACTGTCGTAAACATTAATTAACACATTAAAAGGAATAAGATGTCGTATTCTTTTAATTGCACCCAAAGCAGAAGCGATCTTTTTACAAATACTCTGTATGTGGCATTCCCAGCTTAAGTTTTGGTCAATATGCACTCCAAGAGATTTTGCCGTTGACACTTGCATCACGAGATGGTCGTTTATCATAAAAGAAGGAGTTTCAGAAAGCTTTGATAGCTTCTGCCTCGACCCAACTAACATAAACTCAGTTTTAGTCAAGTTAAGGGTCAGTTTGTTAGCCGATAGCCATATATACTCCATGTTTAAATCGTCGTTAACGCAGTCATTTATGAGTTTTAAATCTGCGCTGGCATAGGTTAGGCTGGTGTCATCGGCATACATTCTAGGTTGTGAAAAATGCAAGCAATTAGGTAGGTCATTAATATACGGTAAAAACAATAAAGGTCCAAGAATTGTTCCCTGGGGAACACCACATGTAACTAATTTTGGGTTTGACATTGAACAATTAATTTGGTAAGTTTGGGTACGATTGTTTCAATACGAAGTAAACCATTCGTGACAGGAACCGCGTAATCCATAATATTGTAATTTCGTTAATAAGATATGATGATCAACTGTGTCAAAAGCCTTTTTTAAGTCTAAGAAGACAACGGCATTGACAAGGCCACGATCAACGTTCACTGCCCAGCTATCGGTAGCTTCGCGTAATGCGGTTACAGTAGAATGTAAAGAACGAAAACCAGATTGGTAACGGGATAGAATACGCTTCTCAGTAAGATAGTGATACAACTGGTCGTAGACTACCCGTTCAAATACTTTGGCCACGACTGGGATCACCGATATTGGTCGATAATTGGTGGGATCATTTCGTTTACCAGAATGTTTATACAATGGAGTAACCCTAGCCGACTTCCACTCATCGGGAAAAATTCCTGTCAACAGTAATTGATTAAATATTAAAGTAAGAGACTCGGCATAGATCAGGGCACTCCCTTAATAATTTAGCTGATATACTATCTAATCCAGTGGCCTTTGATTTACAAAGTTTTGAAAGGGGAGAATAAATATGAGCAGATGTTATTTCCTTGAAGACAAACTCCTTAGAAGTTCCACAAAGAAACTCTTTGTAGGTGGTATCAACATTCGAAACATTTCGACTAAGCCTTGGTCCAATCTCAATGAAGAAAGTGTTCAACAATTCAGCAACTTCTGCTTGATTGCTCGATTTTAGTCCCTGATATTGTATTTCATTTATTATTGTTTTATTAGATTTGCGGGAAGTCAATTCATTGATGGTCTTCGAGGTCTTACGTTGATCAACGGCATAATTATTAAAACAATTATTATAATAGGCCTTTTTAGCAGCCCTGATTTCCTGATTTACTTTATTTTTGACCCTTTGGAATCGATTCCAAGAAGACGCATCCTTAGTTTTAACAGCTTTTTTCTTTAGCCGGTTTCTGAAATTCACTCGTTTTTTTCAAATTTGTGGTAATCCAAGGAGACTTGGTGGGACGGGTGCGTTTAGTTTTCACTGGGGCGTGCTTATCACAAACACTTAGGAATAATTCTTTCCATTTTTTCCACATGTCATTGGGGTCGTACAGTTCTTTGATATCGTCGCACGGTTGCGTCGAAACATCATTACGGAAATTATTGCTGTTGAAGTGTTTAAATTGTCTATAGCTGGTCAAATTGATTCCATTAGAAACAGGCGGGATTGAAATTTTACGGTACGCGTAAACAAGATTGTGATCGCTTATACCCACGTGTGTCACCCCAGAACAAAGAATATTGTCTTGGTGACTGGTGAAAATAAGATCAATTAGGGTACTTGTTGAGGGTGTGACTCGAGTAGGCTCGTCGATTAATTGTTTTAAGCCATAAATATCGGTAACATTTAACAGAGCCCTTACATAAATGTTTTCGCTGGACAGCAAATCGCAATTCATATCACCCATAAGATAATGTTCAACATTCTCGGAATCAAGTCTTGCTAACAAGGAGTCAATATTCGAGAAAAGGTCTATAAGTGAATTTGGCGGTCGGTACCACGAGGTAACAACAAACAAGGTAACAACAAAACAAGTAACTTGAAAAAACAACCAAAAAAAAACAAAACAAGTAACTTGAAACTGTGCGAATTGGCGAATCTAGGGAAATTAGAATGAGGGGAGAAATTCGAATTAAGGGACAATAAAACGCAGGCGCATTGCATAGAAATTTAAACTCGCAAAAATAAAATCGTAAATATACGCTCGTTTAATGTATCATGCTCTCCTCATTTAGCCGCGTTTTGAAATCTTAACAAACGGACACATCGCTCAATTTGGGCCAGATAACAAATGGAACACCAAATTACGCACAGGTCTTATAATTCTAAACCATAACTGGTTTAAAAACCATGCAAACATCGTTTACAGGTGTATGTGTGCCACCAGCGTAATATATAAAAAAAATGAATAAATTGAACTACACCTGACCCTCTCATATTGTCTGTAGACGGTAAAGCAAGTTAGGTGCTAGTAGAGAAGTGTGGAAGCTTTCATGACAACTTATATTTACTGCTATTTTCCCATCAATGCAAATATTATTGTTACACGCATTGAGTTACGAATTTTGTTTATGTCAGTAATATGGATTTCAGTTTGCTTTCTACTTGGCCATTTTGTGAAGGATAAAAGCTTGGGCAACAACTTAGGAAAGTTGTTAACCATTCCCCACGTTTTATAATCTTGGCATTGTTGCCTCCGATCAGTTTAAAAGCTTATGAGGCAAATGGTTTGACAGAAATGATAGCTGACTGACCATTCTAATGGGTGTCCAGGTAACTGAAGTAGAAATTATCCCACAAAAGCTGCGATTTATAACATCTTGAACTTCATGTACAATGCTATCGCATCCATAGTAACCGCTATTGTTAATGTAATGCGAATTTGCCTCTTTTTTTACTAGAGGTGTTAACTAAGGTTTTGCTTTTAATTATAAACTCAACTGAGGCTGACATAAAACTCGTCGAACCCACTAAGATCGCAGCGTAAGCCAGCTGATTAAGATTTGTTACTACCTCATCAGTTATGGTTAAGTTTTAGAGAGTAAGCACTGAAGGGAACTCAATGAGCAAACAGGTAAGAGGTTCTAAAAGGTTAAGAGGTTCCACAGAGCTATATAAAAACTGTTGTTGTCGGTTATTTAAATGAAGTCTAACTTAGGCCGCTGTTTACGAAATCATTTGTCCTCCAGATCTCTTTCTTAAAGGGTTAATTTCAGAAAATAAGTGCTTTTATACGCTATATGCTTGATCGAAATTGTTCACGATAATGGTGTTTAGCTAAAATCGTTGGGCAAACTGAAAATAGCTTAAGACGCGGTTTTGTTTAATCACCGGCTAAACTCCGTTTAAATAACTGGCCCTAAAAGTTTAAATTACTCGTACTATTTCTTTAATGAACTGCTACGTTTCAACTAAAAAAAAAAGACGTAGTGCAATTTTTACGATTTTATGATTCCTCAAGTTTAAAAAGACCTCAACTTTACCAATTATCTTTACAAATATTCGACTTCTTCTAGTAGGCAGACGTGCTGTCTATGAAGGAACAGACCGCAGCTAGTTGAAAGAGAAAGGCAAAACTAATATAAATGGACGAAACAAAAATATTTGCTTTAAGTCTTTTCAACTTTGTCTTTTTACAGTACGAAAAAGACCTAGGATTTCAAGGTAATCGAGAATCTTTGAATAATTACGTGAATGAGGCAAAAAAATAGGTGGATAATAAATATTCAAATGATTCAACCGATTTGTGTTGATTGTCTGCAGTGAACAGTGGTAAATCGGAGAATGGTTAAACTTAAACACTTAATCATACTGCTGTCACACCCATCACAGTATTAATTCTGCATCAACAGCTGCTTTTAGCCGACCTAGAAATGTTATCATCGAATTAATAGCACTGAACAATAAATTGCATGGAACATTTAAGGTAAAACATGTTATTTACGTTGCACTGATTAATTGACACCAGAGTTAAAAGTTGAAATCGGAATATAATCAAATGATAATGAATACACACAGACCAGCATTACTGACCGTGGAGGCAAAAGTAAAGGACAAAGAGAGAAAGGCCTTTTCATCTTCAATTTTTTTGCATTTTTTTTTCTTTGCTTCTGAGAAGGTAAATTAAGAAAGTGACTTTGCTATGTCAGTTGACCGCTGTACAGTTATAATAAACGGTTTGCTGTCATGTTCGTTGGATTATGACTAGAGCAGTGGTCAGAATACTTAAACTAGCGTGTATTTATGCCCTATTACTACGTCCCTGTAAAAAAACGTATTTTGATAGAGAGGTGTAGTAAATTAAGACGGCAATGGCAACGAGAACAACAAAAAGCAATAGGTTTAAAACAAACAATTCTGCCGTCCTTTGCCTGACCAGTACGACTTGAAATTCCATGCATCTTTTATCGTTTACCTAATTGCACGAAGACAATCTTTTCCTCTTTTTCCAAACCTGGGTGCGCTCCTTTAGAATTGACTCTGGGAAATTTAACGACAGTTGACATACTAAGTAAGTGGCATGGGACGAGCTGTGAAACGACGCGAATTCATTTCGTTAATGACGTTTTCTCAGACGCCAGTTGTGCCACTGCCTTAATTGTTGCTAAATGGCTCTCATAACTTAAGTACACGGTGAATTGTTGTCAAAGCATATTTTTATTTATTTATTTATGTTTTTCATTATATACGATTCTTGGCCTCCAGTGTGTATACAATCAAGAGTTGTCGGGATAAAAACAAGACAGTGTGACACATTATATTAATGCGTCTAATGTGATAACATTTTTCACTGAACTTACTCCCCGTCCACACAAATGCGTATATTTTTGAAACCGGAGTTTTTTCCATTTAGCCTTCCCTCCACACGTAAACGGAGAATTCGACAAAACAAAACCGCAGGTTTTCGAAAACAGTCCCCAAAGTGGAGTTCTTTAATTTGAAAAGGTTGGCTTATCGAATGAAAACGAAAACTAATGCGATGATGTCACACATCGTTCATAGCATGCTGTGTAAAAGAGGTTTTAGTACGTATTTCCATCGTTTTGGTGTTTTCGTGTATAGTGGAAAATGGAGAAAGAAAAACTCCGTTTTCAAAAGCATCCGTAAACGTGTTGGAAATCTGCCCAACAACTTAAAAGCACGTCGCTTCACCTGTCACTAAAACTGGTTACTATACTAATAGTCCGTTTTACTAGGTACTGGAATGTGCAAATTTTTACCAATTTCTGATATTTATACGGCTTTTTATTAATCAGGGTACGGTCGGCAAGGTATCTTTTGTTATGCAAACTATGATTTGGCGTTAACACAGAGCCTTGTTACTTTTGACAGAGTGTGTCCAGTGGATGAAATGCCGAGTCCTGCGAAAGTAGTTCCGATCATCATTTTCCTGCTGTTATCAGCTCAGTCAATGACAAGTGCCTTTCTCAGGTAAATAAAATAATTACAATACTAGAGGTATGGACGGCCGGATTTATCATGCCTTAAGAAACTAAGATATATAACAACAACAGCTTACTATTATTTACACACATTGAATAGATTCGTTTAGTAGTGTAAAGAATACAAATAAACGAGAAAGGACAAAGAACTTCATCTGAACCTGAAGTTAGCATAACTGTAGTCGAGGCAGAATAGAAGTTTAGGTATATGATTTTTTTGTACAGAATATTGAATTTACAATGACAACCATTTTTTTTTTAGAGGAAATTTAAATCGTACCCTCTACGGCCTAACTATCGGCTGTGGCAAAGGGGCCCGATTATATATGGAGGATTAATTCAACGTAATCATCCCTATCCAAAAAAGTCTCCAATAAGTGTGGCCCTTGTTCTTGACATGAGCGTCTGGAGCCCCTCCCGAATCATAATAACCCAACTTAACTCAAGGTTAATTCTTCTCAGCTTTATCAAAGCAATATTTGCTGTGTTCCAAACAAAAGAACAACAACGAGGAATGATCTGCAAGTAGCATTAGCTAATCTAGGCGGAACAAACAGTCATACCAAAGCAAAACATTGCAATCAGCATTACCATTAAATTCAATATAGCTTGATTGCAAGCAACGTTCTATTAGGTTTTAGTGCTGTAGAAATTTGAGAAATGTCGATTCAGTCGTTATGCCTCTCTAGAATCTCAACCAGGAAAAAGTGGAGTTTCGTTTTTTAAAAAGAGCTTTTTCACAGTGTTTCGGAAGCTTCCTTAATGTTTCTTGTATGATGTCAATGGTTGCCTCCTACGACTTTTTACATCTTTGTAGGATTCCCTGCTGTCGAGTCCTAAAAAACTATTTAACCAGCTCTTTTTACCAAGGGTCTTCACCACAAAAATATATAAGGTGAAAGGGTCTGAAAACTATAGTAAGCATCAAATCTGCTGGAACACCTAGTGAAACAATCAACATAAGATGAGACAGTTTCGTTCGATAATGTTTAATGACCATTTTCCCCCGGTTTCACTAGAAAGTTCCTTGTCGTGTAAAGGCAGTAAGGGCTTTAAAAAAGAGTTCACAGAACACCCGTTCAATTTAATTGGGACTCGTTCAATATAATTGGGACTAATTGCTGTTAGCTGTTATTGCCTGTTATCAGCCATTAGAGCCAATCAGGATCAAGATTGTCTTTGGCTAAGAGCTAGTCTAATGTTATCAGATAACAAACCCATTAGATCCAATGGCAAGCTTGTTAGTGAATAACGGGATAACAGCTGATAACAGCTAATAATACTTCACCCATTATACCCAATCACAAGTTTGTTAGAGAATAACGGGATAATATGCTACATTCCACAAGTGTGAATTTGACCCGTGAGGTAAAAATCTATTTCATGACAAGTCAGTGCATCATTCTCGAGTACATACTGGAAGGCTGCACGCATATACCGTATTTATTCGATTAACCGCCCTGGGCGCTTATTAAATTTTTGGACCTTGAGAGTGGGCGCTTATTCGAGGTGGGCGTTTATTCGAGGCTGGGCGCTTATTAAATTTTCACCATTCTCAGCAAGTGTAGTAGTATATTTTACAACCAGACAGTAAATGGTACCAACAAAAAGTGAAGATGTAACAAAGCAAGGTTTCTGTAAAATACTCTGAAGAAAACTCCGTCTCCGGGAAGGTCTCTTATTATCTCTTATTGCAGTTATTGTGGGAGGGAGTGGGGTGGGGTGGGCGCTTATTCGAGGCTGGGCGCTTATTAACTTTTTCTGCCTTTAGCATGGGCGCTTATTCGAGGTGGGCGCTAATTCGAGGTTGGGCGCTTATTCGAATAAATACGGTATGCACATTTGATCCATTAGCTGCCGTGAACTCATCTAAAACTCTTTTTGGTTTATTTATCATGTTTTTGAAAAACGTCAAAATTTTACCGTTTTCAAATAACCGATAGGCTTTTTAACCCAACACCTACGAAACAGTGGAATGCTCAAGAATAGAACAAGAAAATCAGAAAATTACTTTATGATCTTTGAAGAAGCGTAGCTCATAACAAGCATGCAACTATCCAACGATCTCTCGATAATAGGTCAGTGATACAATAGTTGTGAATAGGAAACAGAACAAATCAACACTGCCCAGAGGAAGTTTATCAGTTATCAAGTGACAATTGCTGACATTCCAGCCCATTCCTGCACGCAAATTTCTTAGACAGTACACTAACACATTTATTTTCTTAACTTAAAACGATCTTTACACTTCCCTTTATTTCACTTTGATTTAACGACGAAATCTGTTTAGAATAAGGGAACGCGTCCAAATATCGGCATCGGGTCACACCGATGCCAATCAATTGGGCACCGATTTTTTCCGATTCTGTTGAATGTCGGAATCGGCAACGGGTCTCAAGTCTTTATCGGGCCAATTAACAAAGGTTATCAAAAATATCTGGCAGCTCAAATAACCCGTCACAAAAGCAAAAGCGTGAATGTTGGTTCTCGATGCACAAACACGTTAAATTTCCAATTTAAATGTTGTAGACCAGCAGATAAAGTGTTTCTTCTTATTATTAACACTATCTTTCTTATAAATGTGTCTTGTTTGAACCGAAATTTAACGTCACAGTTTCGAACATTTGTTTGTATTTACCTATGACAGAGTATGACCAGAAAATATTAAATTTGTGTATCAAAATGAGCACGAGAAGAAACAGCAGGTCATTCAACAACGCTGAAGAGCATCTTTTGAGTGAAAGACGGCGCAATGTACATTGCAAGTGTACGATCTCAAAATGATAATTTTAAAATAGCTTGGGCCCGTGCTAACCGGAACCCAAATCGCATGATGAAAGAAATCTTTAAAGGAATAACCAGTTTAGGACTTTAAGCGAAAAAAATACAAAGAAGTCAGAACATCCACGACCAAAATGCAAATGTTGTTACCATGTTGTGTTCTTTAACTGCTTAAATTGCCACAGGAGAGAAGAGGACATCGTCTGAGAATCAGGCTGCAAGTTGTTTATTGGTTGCATATGAACTCAAAAACGTGACTGATGGAGGCGCTCAACTGGTTTTCTCTTTCTCGATTCTCTTTCCGCTATTAAATTGAGTCAAACTTATCGGATGTATGCACAGTTTGCTTTAGTTGAACACTCCGGTAAAAAAGGTTCTGCTTTTTGTCAAAAAGTCAGCCCCCTTGAGTCAAGTGAAAATTTTCGTAAGCGCTGAGAATGGAAAGCAATTTCACGTGGCACCATCCTCAAGCTCACAGAACAGCTAAGTCGCTAAGCCATCCTCTCTTTGTATGAAACTTCGTTCCGTGTTTTCCGTGACTCACGAGTGTGGGAATCTTTCAGTTCTTTTTGCTAATTCCCTGGAGACAATCTTAGGCCGCAATCTAATTGGTCGGTATTTTTTGCCGCAGATCGCATTGCACCTCGCGTTTAGGATCGTTGAATGAAAGTTGCAAATTTTCGTAAAAGTTTATCTCGTGGTTTTATATTATCCATGGGTTTGCTCTCGCTCCGCTTGCAAGGAAACCCGTTGAGGTCTACTTGTAACAAGTCTATGCATCCAGTTGTGTTTCGAGAAAGTGAGTTCTGGTTGTGTTTTTGGATTGCATTGTTAGAAAGTATCGAGTAAAGAACACACTACTCAGTATGGTGTTTTGTTTGCTATGTATCAACGAAGAACAGTGGTGTTTTGCGTCGTAATATTTAACTCCTTTTAATTTTCATAGAATAAATTTTATGGAGCAGCGTGGTGTCTGCGATCGACTGAAGGAAATACCTCTGAAACGTCGAAAATCACGTGTAGGCACGCATCAAATCAACAAACTAGAAACACAACATGGAACATACACTATTGTTATTTGTTATGGAGTAGGAAAAAGGTACAGTCGATACAAATTACTTTGGAGTGAAACGACTCTTTTGGTTTCGTGACACGCTTCATTTTATGTATAAATCGGCAAAGTTTTTATCGTAATCGGAAACGGCAACTGGTGCCTACAGATCGGTACCGATTCCGAACAATCGGAAAATTAATCGGGTCCGTTTCCCATGATCGGGTTCCCTACCGATATTTGGACGCGCTCCCTAAAAAGAAAGGCAAACTTGATGTCACCTAAGGAAAAACCGCCGTTTCCGTTTTTCATTTTGCACTAAGCATCACTTTTTAAAGACATATTTGTACGTAAAATGTATTGACTTTTATACAGAAAAATTTTGAAAGGCCAGAAAGGTTTTACTCTGACACGTTTTGAGAAACCTTTACCATTATTCGGCGATCGATCAGATTTAAAGGGCACATTTTTACGCGCCCTAAAAAGTTGTTAGAAGAAAGTAGCGAGTATAAGTTATTTAGTCATACGGCGCCGGGACTTGACGGAACGCAAAGAGAGCGTTACAATCTAATGGCATACGAGCGACTGCAGGCATCTCACGACATGTTGACTTTGGCTAAGAGCTAGTCTAATGTTATCAGATAACAAACCCATTAGATCCAATGGCAAGCTTGTTAGTGAATAACGGGATAACAGCTAATAACAGCTAATAACAGCTAATAATACTTCATCCATTATACCCAATCACAAGTTTGTTAGAGAATAACGGGATAATATGCTACATTCCACAAGTGTGAATTTGACCCGTGAGGTAAAAATCTATTTCATGACAAGTCAGTGCATCATTCTCGAGTACATACTGGAAGGCTGCACGCATATATGCACATTTGATCCATTAGCTGCCGTGAACTCATCTAAAACTCTTTTTGGTTTATTTATCACGTTTTTGAAAAACGTCAAAATTTTACCGTTTTCAAATAACCGATAGGCTTTTTAACCCAACACCTACGAAACAGTGGAATGCTCAAGAATAGAACAAGAAAATCAGAAAATTACTTTATGATCTTTGAAGAAGCGTTGCTCATAACAAGCATGCAACTATCCAACGATCTCTCGATAATAGGTCAGTGATACAATAGTTGTGAATAGGAAACAGAACAAATCAACACTGCCCAGAGGAAGTTTATCAGTTATCAAGTGACAATTGCTGACATTCCAGCCCATTCCTGCACGCAAATTTCTTAGACAGTACACTAACACATTTATTTTCTTAACTTAAAACGATCTTTACACTTCCCTTTATTTCACTTTGATTTAACGATGAAATCTGTTTAGAATGAAAAGAAAGGCAAACTTGACGTCACCTAAGGAAAAACTGCCGTTTCCGTTTTTCATTTTGCACTAAGCATCACTTTTTAAACACATATTTATACGTAAAATGTATTAACTTTTATACAGAAAAATTTTGAAAGGCCAGAAAGGTTTTACTCTGACACGTTTTGAGAAACCTTTTATTTGACCATTATTCGGCGATCGATCAGATTTAAAGGGCACATTTTTACGCGCCCTAAAAAGTTGTTAGAAGAAAGTAGCGAGTATAAGTTATTTAGTCATACGGCGGCGGGACTTGGCGGAACGCAAAGAGAGCGTTACAATCTAATGGCATACGAGCGACTGCAGGCATCTCATGACATGTCGACTTTGAGATAACTATGAACGGCTTTGAATTCTTTCCATGTGCGAGAAAACAAAAAGTATGCAGACAGGACCAAAGCGGGAATATGTTATGGCGATAATGGCCGATAATCAAGGCACCATCAATTGTGATGAATGGTGAACAAATCTACTCTTTTTGCTGAACATTTTCTGACAGAGAGAAACGGAATTTTTCAGTGGCCTCAAAAAAAGGACTGGGATAAAGTAGCGCCAGAATTCATATTCTGTCGCAATGTAGAGGTCATTGACGGATAGTAAGAGTGTGCAAGTGAAAAACTTGACATCAATAAAAAGTAAATTTGGCGCTTTTTGTGGCAAATATTTTTATCTATTCCCTGTATTTGGAGTATTTTTGGCGTTTTCTGTGTGCATGTTGCGGAACTGAAGAAGACGCATAGGGCCGGTTAAAAATGAGCCGGTGTTGTAAGTGGCTGAATCTGTCCAGCCCGAATACGTATGAAATGTTCTTTACCATAGTTAAAGTCAAGCATGCACACTTATTTCTAGATTTATTTATCCATTAATAAAGGATTGTCGAGATTTATCGTGGTTGTAACCCGAGACAGCTGCACCTCCGATTTATGATTTTGTTAGCCCGGCATAGCATTATTTGAAAGACTCTGCAAAATATGTTGGCGCTTCAATTTTTACCCTTGGTTTATTGAAGTGTTTTTTCTTTTGTTTGTGAGTATGGCAATCTGACAATAATTTTTGTTGCAAGTTTTTCGAAAATTTTAAAGTGCTAAAATCGCAAAGTCGACCAGTAGAACAATTATGTACAATGATTTTTGTACCTATACTAATTTACACACTGATTCACGATAAGTCACGGTTTTACTTCCATTAGAATGCTTAATGACTACACGTTTTAATCAATGTGATCTATTGTGGCATATTTCACGCAAATAAAACATTTGATAAGAAAAGTTGTTAAAATTCGCGATTGGGGGAGAACAGAGATAAGCCGAAAAATGCTGCCCGCTTGACATTTCAAGCCTGAGTCACGGTTTTCTTATTGTCAGCAAATTCCATGCTCGGAAAAATAAAGTCTAAAATAATATGTAGTATACTTTAAATCATGCTTACTTGAATAAAACAATGTATATACAAAATTGATTAAATGCAAGAATACGGGAATATCAAATAGTGAAGAGTACAGCCAGAAAATGTTGATTAGCCGGTTGTTAAAGTTAACGAGAGCAGAAAGGGCTATTGTGTGCGTACCCACTCTCCCACATAAGCCGTCCTTTCATGCGAACATGGAGAATTCCTAGGGAGATCTTTTGGTCTGGGGCAAGTCCAAAAATGAGAGCAGAAAGCGTAGTCCTCGAAATTTTTACTTCCGAAAGGTGTCGTAAACGAAACTCACTTCCGGAATTAAGAGAGACGAGAAAAAAGGCCATTGCTGGACGCGAAAGGATACATACACATCATAATACTTTTCGTGATATATTCTTCCAGATGAAAATGAAGTAACACCTGAGGTAAGCGTTTTATATTATTTTGGGGGGGCATTATAATATGTCGATTCTTAAGAGAACTTTTCGTAAGAAACTTTGAGTTTTCTACTGCACCTTACATCGATTTTACACCAGTGGACGTGACGAGAATTAAAGTTGGCGCAAAGGTACCGACTTTGGCGCCAAAACGGATAACGAAAGTAATTGTTTATTATGAATGGGAATGAAAGGGTTTTGTGACAAGCATGACTCAAATAGAGAGTGCGTTTGTTTTGTAGTACCGTTTAAAATGTTCAGCAAAAAGAGTAGATTTGTTCACCATTCATCACAATTGATGGTGCCTTGATTATCGGCCATTATCGCCATAACATATTCCCGCTTTGGTCCTGTCTGCATACTTTTTGTTTTCTCGCACATGGAAAGAATTCAAAGCCGTTCATAGTTATCTCAAAGTCGACATGTCATGAGATGCCTGCAGTCGCTCGTATGCCATCAGATTGTAACGCTCTCTTTGCGTTCCGCCAAGTCCCGCCGCCGTATGACTAAATAACTTATACTCGCTACTTTCTTCTAACAACTTTTTAGGGCGCGTAAAAATGTGCCCTTTAAATCTGATCGATCGCTGAATAGTGGTCAAACAAAAGGTTTCTCAAAACGTGTCAGAGTAAAACCTTTCTGGCCTTTCAAAATTTTTCTGTATAAAAGTTAATACATTTTACGTATAAATATGTGTTTAAAAAGTGATGCTTAGTGCAAAATGAAAAACGGAAACGGCAGTTTTTCCTTAGGTGACGTCAAGTTTGCCTTTCTTTTCATTCTAAACAGATTTCATCGTTAAATCAAGGTGAAATAAAGGGAAGTGTAAAGATCGTTTTAAGTTAAGAAAATAAATGTGTTAGTGTACTGTCTAAGAAATTTGCGTGCAGGAATGGGCTGGAATGTCAGCAATTGTCACTTGATAACTGATAAACTTCCTCTGGGCAGTGTTGATTTGTTCTGTTTCCTATTCACAACTATTGTATCACTGACCTATTATCGAGAGATCGTTGGATAGTTGCATGCTTGTTATGAGCTACGCTTCTTCAAAGATCATAAAGTAATTTTCTGATTTTCTTGTTCTATTCTTGAACATTCCACTGTTTCGTAGGTGTTGGGTTAAAAAGCCTATCGGTTATTTGAAAACGGTAAAATTTTGACGTTTTTCAAAAACGTGATAAATAAACCAAAAAGAGTTTTAGATGAGTTCACGGCAGCTAGTGGATCAAATGTGCATATATGCGTGCAGCCTTCCAGTATGTACTCGAGAATGATGCACTGACTTGTCATGAAATAGATTTTTACCTCACGGGTCAAATTCACACTTGTGGAATGTAGCATATTATCCCGTTATTCTCTAACAAACTTGTGATTGGGTATAATGGGTGAAGTATTATCAGCTGTTATCAGCTGTTATCCCGTTATTCACTAACAAGCTTGCCATTGGATCTAATGGGTTTGTTATCTGATAACATTAGACTAGCTCTTAGCCAAAGACAATCTTGATCCTGATTGGCTCTAATGGCTGATAACAGGCAATAACAGCTAACAGCAATTAGTCCCAATTATATTGAACGAGTCCCAATTAAATTGAACGGGTGTTACAGTTAAATCGGATTTCCAACATAATCAAATTTGGGACATAGAACTTCATGCATCCATGCCTCTTCAACTTTTAACGTAGGCTTGACTGAGGCAATATATTTTTATATGGTGCGATCAGTCAAGTCAATTACCAAATACATAATTATTGTCTCCCTCTGTGAGGTTTTTCGGGGGTGATGAAGCAAATAATTCAAATGGAACTTAACAAGGTTAAGAGTCTCTACTGGTGGGAGGCGAATTTTACAAGCGTAGCCGAAGATTTGAACTTGGGACTACCGAGAACCAATCCAGCTAGCGGTAACGGGGCAGGACTTGAACTCGGCCCTCCGAAATACAAGTCAATCGCTGCCTCGTTTTCTGATCAAGAAAAGAAGAAGCGAGCAAATTCGAAAGAAAGGTGGGGATGCAAAGTAATAGCGTCGAGAACTATGTTGTTTTATTTCCATGCAGAAAGTTTGTCTGCGAGAGGTGAAGACCAAATTGAATTTTATAAAATGCACTTAGTAGCACTCTTCATCGGAAGAACAAAGTCAATGTTCTTAATTTCTGATGTTTTAAAGTCCTATTTAATATTTACTACTTTTAATTATAGGGATAACTCAACTCAACTCATGGACGATATTTCAGCTGTCATTACGAGAGTAGCAAAGGATGAAACACACAGGTTTATTCGGCCAAATGCAAGAGGTATAGAAGACAATAAGGAATGACAGAAATAGAGCATGAGAAGTTACAGATTTCAGCAGGATCTGCAGACATTTCCATTCTGACGTTTAACAAGATCTCCTTTGATCCGAGGTTTACCTTGTTTTTGACAGGGCCACCAATAACAGTCCAAGCTGACGTGCAAATAGTTTACATAGGAGGCTTTCAAGAAGTTGATATGGTTTGCAATTATTTATTTTACAATAACTGAATTATATCTCACACGCCGATTGGCTACTTTTTACTATCAATTTAACAAATACATTCCATGTTGCCGTGCGGTGTTCAGTAAGTGATCACAGGTGACGTCAAAATGTGGTAAAAACAAAGAAGTGGCACGCGAGACGCAGGCGAGTGTGTGATACATACCTGCCTCGTACCGCTTGACAAATTCCGCTTGACTGTTTGAAGATTCGTGCTAGTTTAGGCATTTTTAAAGTCCCAAGGAAACGCTATACTTTTCTTTTTTTCTTTATCTTTCTTGTATACAGTTTCTTTGAAAAGTTTTCAACGTCGTTTGTTGCTCAAAGCAGAATAATGGCGAAAACATTTTGCAAAACAGCGAGTCTCTCGTAGCGATAACACACGATGGCAACTGTTGGGAAGATTTCTTGTAGTTTCTTAGGCATTCTCAAGTAGTCAAGAGCTATTTTTGTCTCTGTTTCTCCATTTTTCTTCTTTGTAAATAGCTCCTACTTAACTTTCTTCGAGGTTTTTACTTGCTTTAATCCGAAAAAATCTCACAAGCATTTTCAAAACCGCGCACCATATGTTGAACAAAAGAAAGAAAACAAGCTTCCCGTGACGTCATCCATGTATCTGTACTCTAATAGATCAAGGGCAACGACCAATCACAGCGCGCGTAGCACTCACATCATGTCGAGCTTCGGTGTTTTTTGCTTAGTTTAGTTTCTTTTGCTAAGTCTAGTTTATTAAAAATAAGCACATTAATAACCGTAGTTTTCTTTTGACAAGTACTGATTGTTTTTCTGATCCTTTTTTCCAAAGCAAAACAAACTTTTTGTCCAAATTTTATGAAACTTTGTAAGTACCTTTTAAGTGGAATTGAAAACTTCATGCCTATAAAAGCCACCTTTCGGTTTGATTGTACACAGCTAATATAGCTGAATGGCGTTCAGGACGACAAACAAGACAAGAACTGAAGTAAAAAACCGGCCGTACACGATTATTAATATCGGTTAGCGACTCTTCACAACTGCCAGGCTAGTTTGATCTACAGACAGCTTAACCGTACATTGCTTCGACTTGTTCGGTCACTTTAACGGCTCCAAAATCTTCCCTTGGAAAAATATTTAACCTTGGGCTAGTTTACGACTTTACTGATACAGCCCTAAATCAAGACAATAAACATCGCTGTTCTCATTTTGTTTGAGGTTTGCAAAACAATTTAATTTCTAATATATGGGCGACCCAACTTTTAGTCAATGAAACTCCGTTACTTGTCATTAGTAGCCAATCACCAAGCGAGAAAAGTTATTGACAATAACGATACGCCAGTCTAAAAAAGTCATAAATTTTCTTCTGTTTTCTTCATTTTTACCGGCATTTTTTACTTTTGTTATTGTAAAAAACAAATTGACGCCAGTTTTTTATCGTCTCTCATCTTATTGATGATAAAATGACATCATAGCATTGTCAAAGTTATGACGTCATTTTATCAGCAATAAGAGGACAGAGGATAAAAAACTGCCGTCGATTTTTTAATTCAAATAAATCTGTGTTTGTTATTTTTTAAATTAATCCTTTTTTAATTTAATGTTTCCTTGATGTACAAGCGTCGCCTTCAAGTAGATTTTCTCGTTTTCACTGGGAAGTGAACTGAGATTGTCAATGTTTCCTTGGCAGACTTTTACTTTGGAACTGTTCTTTCGTCAGTACTGGCGTGATGACAGGCTATCTCATAATTTGCCTGAGAGGCAGATAACGTTACCTAGCGACGCCGCTGACAGACTGTGGCAGCCTGACACATTCTTTCTAAACACCAAAAAGGGAGAGCTGCACAAACTGACTTCCTTAAACAAAGTGATGGTAATTCAAGCCGATGGTAGTGTATTTATCAGCACAAGGTAAAAATAAAACAGTTTTTCTTGATGCCGAGTATGATGTATCACCAGCATACTTAATTATGGGCGTAACTGCGGCTTTCAAAATGAAGGGGACAATTCAATTCAACTTTGTGACTAGCTAAATTCAACAATTTTCTTGTTCATTTACTGTAACCTCCATGCAAAAAAGTATAACAAACCATGTTCTAATCGGAGAGGGGGTGTTACAATTACTTGTCCCACACGGCCAGCAAACCAAAAACCGGAAGACATGACCCTGACGCGCCTGTCGACAGTTACTTTAACAAAGTTTTGCACAGAATTTTGACTGGTTAATCTTATTATGTGTTAACGGTGTGACTCAAGAATAATTTATTTTTCTAATCTTAACGAAAGTCATCGCCTCCCATTAAAACTGATCTCGTGATCTTAAAACCGTGTAAAATTTGTTTTAAAATTTTTGTTGGATCGTCATGACTTTTGGCTAATGTTATTTGTAATATTTAGAATCACTCTGACGTGTCTATGTACAATGGACTTTCGCAAGGTCCCCATGGATCGACAAGTGTGCGAATTGAAATTCTCAAGTTGTAAGTTTCGAAAAAAGTATACGTATTAATGAAATAAAAGCGTTGATCCCAGGTGAGGCTAATTTGTAAGTTTTTATACCTGGTTAAAATGACCTAAATTTTTATTTTCTAAATACCGTACTTTCTGAATTAAATGTTTGAATGAAAAGATTATTATTCCTTTTTCTTGGCAACAGTTTATGTTGCTCTTGTGCCTAGAGTTTATTATATATTTCAAATAGTAACTATAAAGGGGATTATTTCAATCATTCTATTTTAGACCCCGCTATAAATTTGGGAATGGTCTCCAACTATATTATGTACTAGGTTTCATTCTAATAAACTCCATTAGTACGGAATAAGCATTTGTTATCTCTTTTGTTTTTTGAAAAATATTTCTTGTCTTTTGAGTTTTAACATTAATTGTTTTCTCTGGAATCTTCTGCCTTGCAGACTCTTTTACCACTGATGATATTGTTTACGAGTGGAAGGAGAAAAATAAAACTTTATCAGGAAGTGTCGAGATTGCTCAATTTACACTTAAACCAGTCAGCACTCATCAGGACGTCAGCAGCTACGTAACTGGTACTCTAGGGGATGTGGTCTTGAGACAGCCACCTGATCTATTCCCGGAGTAGTCAATCGACAAAAATCGGTATCGATAAAAATCGATAGCAATCAAGTGATTTTTATCGATTGACAATGGAAATCAGTGAAAATAGATAAACTAAATTGCTCTGTCAATTGCAAATCGATATTATTTTTCATGATTTTAAAGGCACATGACGGAAGTCCGCCATTGTTGATTTTTGGCATAAGTTAGCATTCACGAGCAACAACTGATCAGCAAACACGAAAATGAGAAATGTGGAAACTATTGCACACACAACTTTCTCTCTAAAACTCTTCGTTTTGTACATAATAACAAAAACGGTTCGGCTTTATAATTACATTCAGTTCTAGCAGGCAAGTATCGCGAGAAATACAACCTTAGTAAAAATTCTCTGGTCAGAATTTCAGACATCCACTCGAGTCGAAGGATTTATCGATTTTTATCGATTTATCGATTGATAAATCGATACCGATTTTTATCGATTGACTACTCCGAGTCTATTGAGATTATCGGTTGGCATTTTCCTTAAATAAAGAATAAAAGCGAGAGATTTTGTTCTGGATTTTACATACAAGAGAGTCGACATGCTGTTTGTAAACAGACTTCTCCTTATAGCTCCCTATCACACGTTGTCATCAAAGCTCCTTGCGTTTTAATTTGCCAGTGTTTCTCATCAAATGCTTGGATATTTTTAAATGTTTCTTTCTCTTTTCCTAGGTAATTACTCTGTTCTTGGCCTTAGATTCGAGTTCACGCGACGCATTGGCCATTACTTGACAAGGGTTTACATTCCAGCCATTCTCATCGCGTGTATGTCTTGGCTTTCATTCTTCATTGATCGGAAGTCAGTTCCAGCTCGTGTTGCACTAAGCATAATGACTATTCTCACAATTACTACACTGTTAATCGGTGTTGGTCAGGGATCTTTGCCTGTGGTATCGTATGTGAAGGCAGTAGACTGTTACCTAATTTTTTGCTATATTTTTGTGTTCGGTGCATTTGCAGAATATGCAATTGTAAACAGCATAGAAAGAGGACACAAATCTACAGAGCATCGAGTGGTAAGAATTAGTATGGATACATTTGTATACTGCGTGGAAATAAAAATGTGATTGAGTGGTCTACTATACTGTCAACCAAAAATACAAATTTTGTTACAAAATTGGCGAGTAAAATATCCGAGTATCGTAAATCTTTTTGTTTCCACTTGTCAATAGTTATTCTACGGCGTTGAGTTTTACACTTTCCTCAATGATTATTAAGCGGAAGTAAAACCGAGTCAGTGCGTACCGATTGACAATTGTCTCCACCGTCGCTTGTTTCGCTTTTTCTACTGTTTTAGAAAAAAGACGCGAGTATCAGATTTGTAGCTAGAGTAACAATCACGCAACCCATCGAACATATCGAACCCATCGATCAAGATAAGCTGCAGCCAAAACATTTGGAGACTTACCACCGTGCTTAGAATAAACCTATTCGGCTAACTTATAGGTCAAATGAACCAAAATTTCGATCTTTTTTATTTTAGTACGATTCTAGTGAAATTGGTTTAATATGAACCAAATAAACATACTACGAAGTTTCAGCTCAATTGAAGAAAGTATCTCCGAGATATTCGCAATTAAAAATTGCTGTTTTTTGGCCCTTATCTTCGTAGAGCGGTCGGAAAAATTGTCGGAAACAACAGCTTGTGACGTCAATGTTGGTCAGGTGTAAAAAAGCGGGAAATTCAAAACAGAGTTTTTCGAGTCGACTTGGCGCAGAAGTGGATTGTGCGGCCATAAACCTGGAGAGAACAAGCAATTTGTCTTCAAAAGTTGCAAGCTGTGGTTAAAACCGTATTATTTAATTTTCTCGAAGAATACATCATAGTAAAACGGACTTTAACAACAGCATTAATTTCCTTGCGCTGTACTGGAAACCTGCGTGCGTAGGTCCGATTTTTTTCGAGATGTATTCAGAAAATGTGTTCATATAAAGAGGTTTCTGGATATATAAGGTCCGGAGCTCCACTGTGGACACAAAAACAAAATATCTTTGTATAGTGATTTGCCGAAAGAAATTCACGCTTGCCCACAATGTGTTTGAAGTCATTGAACTTTGTCACACTCGAGCCGATATTTTAAAACCCACGCTCAATCGGACACTTGTGCTTCGCAGAACACTAAAATATAAACAAAATCTTCATTGTAGAAGTTTTGCCGTTGATATGTGGCAGAAAAAGAGTTAATCATTATCTACTAAAATCTTCCCCAAAATCGGTTTCAAAGCAAATACAGCTTTTTTAAACTTGATCGTTTGAAACAGATAAAGTTTGCTTTGTGTTGTCAAGTTGAACATGCATATAACACCGTTCTCAAAAATGAAGTAAGATTTCCTTCAAACAAAGTTGGGGAGAAATTCTTGCAATAATGTAACTTCAGTTATGTATATGATTTAATTACCGACTGAGGTCACTTTTAGGACCGTAGACGCCTCTTTAAGAGCGCAAAGAGAGCGACAAGCAAAGAATAAAATTCAGCTTAAGTGAACTAAAAAAAGCTTCAATAAGGTTGCAAAACAACAAATTTCTTCTCAAAAAACATAAGGCTTATGGCTCTTATACCTGCTGACAATGAAGAAGTGAATTTTCTGTGCGAAATAACCTACCTAAAGATCTTAAAAGCAAAAGATCAGTTGCAATCTTCGCACCCAAGCCATGATTCACAATTTAGCTATTTTTAAAAACTGGTTCATGCGAGGGTCTTCATTCAAGCAAATTAAACTCAGGAAACTGAATCATTAGAAAGTACAGAAAACTGCACATAAGGGTTCGTTTTGCTCGCTTCAGTCAAATCCAGCTCCAGCAATTGTTTACGAACAAAGAGTCAATTGTTTTGAAGCCATTGCCGGCAGTTGTCGTTCTCAGCTACTTCACAGCGAGTGAAAAGGAAAATTTGCGTACAGAAAGAAAACAAAACTACGTATTCTAATTAAAAATGAAAAAGAAAAAAAAAACACGTTGACTATTATTACTTGAGCAACAGAAAAGTGATCGAAGTAGTCATTGTTCTTCTCGAATAAGCTTTCTAGCCTTCTATAGTTCAGAGGAAGTTTTAAGCGCTCAAGTTCGTTCACTCGCAGGCGTTAGCATTACTGTTCTTTGACATAAGACAAGGATAAAGCTGGTTCTGCAAAGGTAAATGAATCTGGGCATGTAAAAAAAAACTAACCGTAACTACGAATAACAGAATACAAGCGGGTTTTAATTCAGCCGGGCGAAAGAAGGCGAAGCACTGGACACAAAATCAATTCACAACTCGAATGCACAATTATCAGAAAAATACAAACCTCTTTGGAAATGTTCAAAACGTTTTATTCAATCAATCAGTCAATCAATTCATTTCTCCTCAGACTGACGGAATCATCTGTTTTTACTCTAACATTGGTTGTTTTGAATCCAAGGTAATTTTCAAGTGACGAAACAACAACAACAACAACAACAAAAACAAAAAAATGCCTTTACAAGGAGCAAACGTTCGCATCTCGTGAATTTCATTCAGTCTCAGTCAGAACTCTCACGGAACGAGACAAACAAACACAGGCGATAAGGGATGCGCAGAAGCTTGCGCAGAACGTTTTTCCGCCCTGAAAGACCAACATTGACGTAGCGTAGTCTCCAGTCTATCACGCGGCTATTTCAGAAACGTTTTCGTGAAGTCTTCGGAAATGCTCGGATTTTGATCTTTTATCTTTCTCTAAAGGCTTGGGAAGAAAAATCTTTACCCAAATCTCACTTAGGATGGTTCTTTTTAGAGTTTGGTGAAGGTAAAGCGACAAAAGAAAATATCTCAATTTTTTGGTTCATTTGACCTTTAATGTTGTACCCAATTCAAACCCTTTGGGAATAAAACGTCTTGTTTCAGGAATTTCCATACCATTTAAATGAGAATGCTACATTATAAAGCAAATACAATACACAAAGAATCTTAACCTCGGGAGATTTGAATTGGGTACAACATTGAGTTAGCCGAATGGGTCTCTTTGTCAGTACTTATACTTTTCTGGATAAATTCTACCTCCTTTGTGCAGTTTAGGAATAAATCAAATTTTAACGATTAAGAATAAAAATTAGTGAAAAGAGTTTTTACACAACGTTTCGATGTCGCCATGACATCATTATCAAGTGACAAGATATAAACTAAGATATATTAAGACCCTGTTTACATGGAGTGGGGGACCCCGGTCTAGTGAGGTAGTTTCTTTTGTTTTGTGTCCTCCAGAGCGTGAAAACAAAAGAAACCAACCCCACTAGACCGGGGTCCCCCACTCCATGCAAACAGGCCCTACGTCAGATTTTAGTTTTTTTGTTTTGTCACTTTATAATGATGTCATGGCGACAACAAAACGTTGTGTTCAATTCTTTTCGCTAATTTATATTCTTAAGTACTAAGGCAATTTCTAGAAAATAATGGTTTCCATAGCGACAGCACAACCCGTGGGACTCATCTCCTATTTTATCTTAAAGCAGTAAGAAGTATTCAGATGTAAAATAATTGGTGCATTCAAATATGTTAACCTGTCACATGCTTGACTGCAGAGTGTTACTGATTCTTTTAGCAGTATTTAAATAGTAAGTGGAATAGCTGCTCTAAACTCTCTGGCTCTTTTGGGCCACTATTAATACGGTGCTTTTCAATTTAGGGACCAGTCATGATTTAAGTTGGACAGGGTGGTGGAGGAAAAATTGGGGGACCCTCAATTTTTTTTGGATGGAATATGGGGGGCCTTAAAATTCCAAAAGATGACCTGGGGGGGGGTCTTCAAGTTTCTTTTAAGTAGCATCCCTACTGAGCAGCATGATGTTTGAGTATTAAAGGACATGATTTTGATTCAGTTTTACACAAAGTCCTATATTGTGTAATACTAAAACAATTTAATCAGCATTTTTACAAATAAGATTTAATGCTCAAATAGTAGGTGCATCAACACAACATCCATTATTGTGTAACACTGAAACAATTTCATCGGAATTTTATCAAATGATTACATGCATAAAGTCATGTTATACAATCTCACTATCCGAATCATTATTTGTAGATGAGGATGATGTGGACTCACTGTCTGTGTCACCGTCAAGTGTTTTGCTATTAGAGCATGTACTGCTCATATAAAAAGCAGTAAGCTTTGGATGATTATCTTCTTTCTTCCTTGAAGCGGTCCTGTCGGCCTCTCACCTTTCGATGGCTTGTCTTATCTCAATTATAACACAATCACTGATATATCCTTGCTCTATAAGCTGTTTGAGAGGCTCTAGGTGAAATCTCTTTCTCAGTTTAGTGTGAAGTGCTTCTCTGTTGTTGGTTGGCACATTCGGAAGTGACAGTGAGTAAGAACGGTAAAGTAAAGAAAATGTTATTTGTTATTACCATTTGGGTATTATGTATAAGAAAGGGGGGCCCTTAAATCTTTTAACATGATTGAAGGGGGGGTACCTAAAAAACATGGGTGCTACTAGTGGGGGTCTGAAAAAAAATTTGGAATAAAAAACAATTTCTCCTCCACTCCCCCCTCCAACTTATATTATGAATGGTACCTTAAAGGGTGTGTTTTCCCCTTCGTTCATGAACATATAATAGTCCCTACGTACAAAGAATATTTAATAACACGAAGAAAATTGAGAGTGTGTACTAGTTTCCATAAAAAAAGCTTTATGAATTTCATCTGCCCTTTTTCTGAGTCCCGGCAAAAAGCAGTTCAAAACTGATTTTTAATTGGAAGCATCAACCTTTGTAAATGTTAGTTACTGAAATCTTGCCATGATGCTCTGACCATATGCGCAGTAACAAAATTTGAGGACCGTGGGTACCATCCTTAAAATCAGATTCATCTTCATTTACTAACATCTAATTGAGCTATTTGTTTTTCTTCGCTTGAATAAGTGTGGTGAATTAACCCTCGGACGTACAGGAGGGGTGGATGACGACCCAACCCCCCCTTCACCCTTCAGAAGGTTTTTCTGAGTTTTTTCCTAGAAGATAAAACATTAGTACCTGACGTTTTCAGTAGCTGTTCATTCATCCCTCGCGCACATTTTGCGACAAGTTAAGTGATGGTCAGTTGCTATGGTTAAGAGATATGACGTCATAAGTAGCAGGTAGCCAGGCCAATTTTGGTTGAAACTACATGTTCTTTCAACTTCTTTCAAGAATAAAAGTAACTCTTGTGGCTAGAATCATGCAAAGTGCTTATTCATGTGTTATGTTTCGTGTAAAGCACAAAAAATTACCATTTTTTGCAGTTTTAACCTGATTTCTAATTCTTGGTAAAATCCAAGATGGCGGTGAAGATGGCGGCCATTGTTTGTGACGTCACAGGCCGACAGCAGCGCCACCACCCCCTAAAACATATCTCATTTTGTTAAGAAGATCACAGGCTTTCCACTAAGGTAAAATCGTTTCAAAATACTGCAACATATCAAAAACTCCGGGGAGGGTTTCCATCCACCCCCCATGTACCACGGTAGGGGTATGAATTTCCGTACGTCCGAGGGTTAAATGGGAAGAAACACTTATATAATTCTTTCAGTTTATTTCTCCAACAATGACTAAAGCTCGTTTATCATTTCAGAATTTAAGGGAAATCATGAAACCTACGGATAATAACGCCAACGCTTCTTCAAGATTACTGCAGAAGGATTACACCTCGGAGAGAAATGTACATCCCATCTTTGCATGTTGGACGTCCGAGATGAAACTGGCTAATCTCAAGAACATTTTTAAATACGGTTCATTAGATGATAAAGCCAAGATCGCTTTTGCTGTTGTCTTTATTATTTTTAATGGGTTTTACTGGTTGTATTATCTGTAGTTTACTGCCTAAAAATAGATCTTTCGGGGGATGCTTAACAATCAGCGTTTAAAGAATCTCAACTCACTTTCAGCTTTTTAAATAACTTAAAATGACAGTTAATTTCTTGGATCTGAAGGCACAGGCTGAAGGCATCATTGACAATGGAAGAAGAAACTAAGACTTAGCTCTTCCTACGGCAACCCCAGTACCTGATCATCAATAAAAATAGTTTGTTAGGAAGCAGTTGTGTTTTCGTAACCTCAGTATTGCTGTGAGAATTAATCAAATCAATTTAATAATGGAGAATGTTCAGGCCCGACATAATCATGAAAAAAAAAAATACCCTAAAAGGTACCAGAATCTTGTTTTATCGGCGTGTCCCAAGTCCATTTCCACCCCTAAGATGTACCAATTAGACAACAACAAATTATGTAACTGGCACTACAAATCTTAATAGTAATAAATAAGATAACTCTCGGACACTTTCTTCTCATAAATCTTTATCCTAAAAAAGCGTATCAGCCCCTAAAATGTTACCGAGACAACTCTGGCAGCAGTCATTTTAGCTTTTAGCACCCTAAGCCGTACCAATCCACAAATTTAAACCCCTAAAAGGTACGACGAACAACCTCTTCACTATTATAGGGGAGTACCCCCCGGGGGGAGGGAGGGAGCAAACGTCTCCTTTGCAATGAGAAGAGGTTTCTTCGGTAGCAGTCGATCTACTGGAAGAATGCGAACGTGAATGGGACTCAACGACCGTTTTAATGAAAGAACATTTCAAAATCAGGTTAGAGTGTCTGCCTATATATTGCCAGTGTCGATAGCGTAGCTTTTAATTATTCACTGCAAAACTTGAATTTTGAAAACTTTGAAAGTGAACGAATATACTCGTGAATAAGAATGAAATCATTAATGTCCATTGATTATGAAATTTATGAATTTGCACCATTTCGCCAACCATACACCTCCAGTCTTGGTGCAATCTTCAGAGTCCCGTTGAATTAAGAGGTCTGAAGCAGTGCAGGTCTGATCCATATCTACAGACTAGAAAAACGTTACTGAGGTAATAGCTTTTGACATGCAGGATCTTGCAGTCAACATTCAAATGCGAGACTAGGGTCTTCGATCTTTAAAAGCCTTCATTGACGATGGCATATTTCAAATGACTGATGACTGAATATTAGACATGGCACAGACTCGCTTCCTCAAGGGCCTTGACGTCAGCAATGTCTGAAGAAGGTTCGAGCGATTAATCTTTTCAGCGAAAGGGAATAGAAAGCGGGGAGCAATGCTGATAATGAAAATGCTTTCCCAGAAGGACTTTCAGTTCGTTTACTATTTTTCTTTGTTTTGTTTAATTGTTTGTTTGTTTTTCATCCTGATAAACAGAACATATTTCTGAAAAGAACGACATCTTTGATACCAGCTGATACCAGGCTTTTCTCCCCAAAAAGGACAAAAAATTTTTTTGGTAAGTGAAATTCACATCAGTATCGCAAAAATCAGGGTAAACTGAGCGTCTCCGTCATTATCAAAAGTCTGGAGGAAACCTTTGCCAAAAAGTTGTCTTGCCTTCAAGCATTAGACCAAGGTCATTTCTGTCGATCTGAAATAAACCGCAGCAATAAAGAAAATAAAAAGACCTGTGGGCTTTTTGAGGTTAGTGCATCTTTTAGTTATTTCTTGAAAATGTTGCCTCCGAACTTGCTTTTTTTTCACAGACCTGTACTATTGTTCTATAAATCTTCAATTAAATTGAAATGAGTTTTTAAAGAATTTCTGCTCTCCGTGATAATAAGATGATAATATATATAGCTTAAGGCCTCTATTGATAGGACAAACGCTGTGAAATATGCACATGTAATTCAGCGCTTTACAAAAGTATAAATACACCTACACTGCACTTGAAAGGTATATACCCATTTTAACGAGAACCGTGGATACTTGAAAAGCCTGAAGCATTGAATTTAGATAACCTTACACCAACTGAAAGGTAAAACGTAAGTGATATTGTAAAAAGCAACACTATAATGCCACCAAGGTGATCCCATTCCTGTTTATTCCACTTTTATTTAAAGATATTTCTCTCTGGATGGTCTACCAATTTTCAGGACACTAAAAACGGTAAGTGTTTGTGTTGTGAATGATTAAATATACACTCACAAATAGCCCCGACACAACATAAAAGCGAAGGAGCGATGGCCTCCGCAACACCAAAAAACTTCCAGAAAACGCAACTGTTCAAATCCTTCTCCAGTGGCAATGTTGAAAAAAGAAGCCGTTTCGCACTACTAGACAGATATTTTGTTCACTCTTCTCGACGGTCAGCGTCACCATTAAAATCACAAAACCTATTTGGTTATTTTTCAGTACAATGGGTAAAAGGGTTTTCAACCTTTATTAGAATGCTAAGCCTTTCTTATTTAAGTTTGCCGCTAAGGGACGCGTCACGGCAAATTTTTTCATTTAAAAATAACAACAAAATGTTTAACTCATTTCGTAACACATTCTGTCTTGCATGCAATGACTCGCTTTTTCAATCGTAACGCGGATACTTACGATAAAGCTCTTTCGCAATGTAAACTACAATTTACTTATCCAAACCATTGGAGAATGATTTCTAGTTAAATGGTTCATTTCCTTGGCTTATAGACGATTCGGGCCACGTGGGAGGAGCTACATCACAATGTTTGTGTGCTATTCGTTCTCTGGCACCTTTGTGTTGAACGCCAAACTTGTTTAACAGCAAAACACTTATATTTTGGAGAAACTCTAAACTTCTTTTTGGGGTCCAATATGGTGTAAAAGGTTTAAAGAAAACAAATCTTGATTGTAAGTGCAACGGACTTGAGCATTTTCATCATTATTATTATTTAAAGCGCACGCGAGGCAAGCGCGAGCTTTAAGTAGAGCTTACAAACATTAGCCCCATGAGTGCAGTGTAAGCCCAGTGTATTTTTTTAGGTAGAGCTTACATACATACCAGAGTGTGTCCAACAGAGAAATGCTGAATCCAGCAAAAGTAGTCCTGGTCATCATTTTCCTGCTGTTTTCACCTCAGTCAATGACAAGTGCCTTTCTCAGGTAAATAATATATTAATTACAATCCTACAGGTATGGATTCATCAAGCCTTCCAAAACTAAGATATACAACAACAACAGCTTATCCTTTACTCACATTAAATAGATTCGTTTAGTAGTGTAAAGAATACAAATAAACGAGAAAGGAGAAAGAACTTCATGTGAGTCCGAAGTTAGCATAGCTGTAGTTGATGCAGAATGGAAGTTTAGGTATGTGATTTTTTGTAGAGAATATTGAATTTATAATGACAACCATTTTTACTGAGGAATTTTGTAACCTGTATAGTCTAACTATCGACTGTGGCAAAGGAGCCCGATTATATAGCAGATGAATTCAACGTAATCATCCCTATCCAAAAGAGTCTCCGATAAGTGTGGCCCCTGTTCTCGAAATGAGCGTCTGGGACCCCTCCCGAATCGTAATAACCCAACTTAACTCAACGTTAACTGGACTCAGCTTTATCAAAGCAATATTTGCTGTGTTCTCCCCCCAAAAAAAGCATCAACAAGAAAATGATCTGCAACGAGCATTAGCTAATCTAGGCGGAACAGTCAGTCATTCCAGTGCAAGATATTGCAATATTACAGTTCAATTAGCCTGAGAAAACAGCCCACATTTGGCGACACTACCACTGGTTTGCCCGCCAAATGACGTCTGGGAAACGAGAGCAGAAATTCCATACTGATGAAGTGTCACTACCCAGATCTGGGTGGTGCTTCTGATTGGTCGTGCCCGGTGGGAAATTTGATTCAGCCAATAAGAGGCACTACCCAAATTTGTGTAGCGATGCTTCATCAGTATGGAAATTCTACGCTCGTCTCTCAGACGTCATTTGGCGGGGAAACCAGAGGTAGCGTCGCCAAATGTCGGGCTTCAGTTAAATTCAATATAATTATCATCAGCTTGATTGCAAGCCGCAAAGTTCTATTAGTTTTTAGTGCTGTAGAAATTTAAGAAATGTCGATTCAGTCATCATGCCTCTCTAGAATCTCAACCAGGAAAAAGTGGAGTTTCGTTTTTCAAAAAGTGCTTTTTCACAGTGTTTCGGTAGCTTTCTTAATGTTTCTTGTATGACGTCAATGGTTACTTCCTACCACTTTTTACATCTTTGTCGGATTTGAGTCGACCCTGTTGTCGAGATCTAAAACTTTCTAACCAGCTTTACCAAGGGTCTTCACTCCAAAAATATACTAGGTGAAAGGGTCTGAAAACTATAGTAAGCATGAAATATGCAGGAACCGCTAGTGAAACAATCAACATGGGATGAGGCAGCTTCATCTGATAATGTTTTAATGACCATTCTCCCCCGGTTTTACTAGAAAGTTCCTTGTCGTGTAAAGGCTGGGCTTAAAGAGTTCACAGTTAAAACGGATTTCCAACATACTCAAATTTGGGACATAAAATTTCATGCATCCATGCCTCTTGAACTTTTAACGCAGGATTGAATGAGGCAATATGGTGCGATAAATCAAGTCAATTATCAAATACTTAAGTATTTTCTCCCTCTATGGGGCTTTTCAGGGGTAATGAAGCAAATATTCAAATGGTACCTAACAAGGTTAAGAATCCCAACTGGTAGGAGGCGAATTAAATGGCTATTTTACTAGCGTGGCCGAGGATTTGAACGCGGGACTACCGAGAACCAATCCAGCTAGCGATAAGGGTAGGACTTGAAACTCGGCCCTGCGAAATACAAGTCCATCGCGGCCTCGTTTTCTAATCAAGAAAAGAAGGGCGAGCAAATTTGAAAGAAAGGTGGGGAGGTAAGGTAATGGCGTCGAGAAAAATTTTGTTTTATGGCCATGCAGAAAGTTTGTTTGCAAGAGGTAAAGACCAAATTGAATTTTATAAAATGTACTTAGCAGCACTGTCTCTTCATTAATAGAACAAAGTCAATGTTCTTAATTTCTGATGTTTTTAAGTCCTATTTAATATTTACTTCTTTTCATTGTAGCGATAACTCAACGCAACTCATGGACGATATTTCAGCTGTCATTACGAGAATAGCAAAGGATGAAACACACAGGTTTATTCGGCCAAATGCAAGAGGTATAGAAGACAATAAGGAATGACAGAAATAAAGCACGAGAAGTTACAGATTTCAACAGAATCAGACATTTTCCATTATGACGACTAACAAGATCCCCTTTGATCTGAGTTTTACCTTTTTTTTGACAGGGCCGCCAATAGAAGTCCAAGTTGAAGTGCAAATAGTTTACATTGGAGGCTTTCAAGAAGTTGATATGGTTTGCAATTATTTATTTTACAATAACTGAATTATATCTCACGCGCTGATTGGCTAATTTTTATTATCAACTTAACAAATAAATTCCATGTTGCCGTTCGTCTGTTCAGTAATAGAGCACAAATGGGGTCAAAATGTGGTAAAAACAAAGTGGCACACGAGCGGCAGGCGAGTGTGTCACACATACCTGCCTCCTACCGCTTGACTGTTCAAGGATTTGTGCTAGTTTAGGCATTTTTAAAGTCCCAAACGCTACTTTTCGTCTCTACTTTTTCTTGTTTTCTTTATCTTACTTGTATACTGTTCCTTCGAAAAATTTTTCAACGTCTTTTCTTGCTCAAAGCAGAATAATGGCGAAATCATTTTGCAAAACAGCGAGTCTCTCGTAGCCGACACACAATGGCAACTGTTGTGAAGATTTCTTGTAGTTTCTTACGCATTCTCAAGTAGTCAAGCTATTTTTGTCTCCGTTTCTCCATTTTTATTCTTTGTAAATGGCTCCTGCTAAACACTTTTGGAGGCTTTCACTTGTTTTAATCCGAAAAAATCTCACAAACATTTTCAAAACCGCGCTCCATATGTTAAACAAAAGAAAGAAAACAAGTTTCCCGTGACGTCATCCATGTATCTGGGCCCAGTTGTTCGAATGCCGATTAGCGCTTAACCCCCAGGGTTAAATTTAACCCGGGCTTCTTTTTATTTTTTTCAAAAGCATTTTCTCGGATAATTTTTACCGGTGTTTTTAAGAGCATCCAATCATCAACTTGTTGACAAAAAGAATTAAACTGAATTTACTTTTTAAGCTTTTTAACCTGCGAGAGCATCCGGTTTTTTCGGCTCAACTAGAAACTTGAGTAGAAAACACCGGATGCTTTCGCAGGCTATCCTATTAGTAGGCTATCCTATTAGCCTGCGGAGCACCATGGGTAAGTAAATCTACCCATCCCAGAAAATTTGGTAATCACGTGACCGCACACCGCCCCCCCTCCCCCGCCAGTCCGTGCGCTGTACATCAATGTTGTGGCTCCTGGTTGTGATCAATTGGCAGCTGTCAAAACAGGATTCCGCTGACCAGTATCACCTGACAATATCGCGGGCTCAGGTGTGAATCCATCGAGGCGACTATCTTTTTGAAGTTATGGGCTGACAAGTTACTAGTTTTCAAATGATCGCAGGCTCAAGTTTAATTTTTTTTAATTCATATGAAATATTTTGCATTTAATTAAAATTTTGATTTCAAACTGACCTTGGAAGCTAAAATTCAGCCAGTTTTTACAGGCAGGCAAGACATGCCAGTTGCTTTTGACTTTTCTCACCAAGGTCATGCGTTGGTCACGCTCTAGGTCCAATTTTTAAGTTCTGATTGGTCAAAATTTGACAGGAGAGGTCATGCGGAAAATTTATGCAGCATCTTGAAACTTGTTTACTTTGACAGCTAACGCTGACAGAGTTTTGTGTCAGCTTGTGATGTTGTTAACTGTCTTTTTCCACTGAATGTACAAAATGAAATTCTGCTGCTATCCAGAGTTTTCTGTTATTCACAGCTAGTTTGTTTAAAGGGGTTTTGGTTGAGAAATACGTCGCTTGTCAAAGGCGAAAATCCGATTTCGGATGGCATCGTTTTCGTTTTTCACCTTGCTTGATGCGTAAGAGGGTTGAAGTCTGAAGCGATTCTGGGCTTACTTGATAGTTTTCAGTGCATCTCGAATGGTAAGCCTGAGTAATTAATGTATTTGGTGTTTGTTTTTGATATCTAATTTAATGAAGTCGGGAGTAGTTTATGCGGCTATTTAGTTTATGCACGTTTGTAAGATTTGAGACAATGATCTGACCGAGTATCAGGTTTGATTATAAGCTTATAGAACTTAAAAAAGCCTTTAGACATTTTCTCACCGCAAACGGAAAGAAAACGTTCCATAGAATATTTAGCTATAATTCTGGCTGTGAAAGAAAGCTTTGAGCAATTTTCTTGCCTCGAGTTCATCTTTGAAAAAAGCAAACACTGGGAAGCCGGCTTAAAACATAAACAAGGATTTTCAGAGGCACTTTAATACTTGTCTTCGTGAATGACAATTGTTGTCTCTGTATATGTTTCACCGAATTATTTTCCTTTAATTGATTGTTAGTGGTCTCTTTTGCAATTTCAATCGCTATGCCGTTTGTTTTCAGTCGCTCATGAACATCGCTTGCAGGAGTACTCAAAATGCCGCGCGTATCAAACGAAGAAGATTACACATCGTTATAAAACCATCAAACAAAAAATAAACATAATAAATTCTTTATCATGTTGAAGCGTATAAACTCTATTAATCTTGATTTAAACAGTCGACTTAAGCGCTTGTCAAAAGTGAGAACCGGCTAGCCGTATATGTAGGTTATTTTGAATTTTTTTTTTAAACGGTTCCGGTAAAAGCACACGAGTGCTTCGATCGTCCTGAATCTTGAGTGAGTTCAATTTGTAGTGCAAAATTGTGAAATACTGCATTCTGTCCGAGGTCTGTATGATAAAAACAGCGCCTCATGGTACTTTTTCACCTCAGATGTGATGTATAAAAAGGATAAAATGTTGGTTTACAGGTCCCCAGACTTGTTGGCAAGATTTTGTAAAGTAAATTATAAACTTGTCGAAAGCAAAAAACTCGGCCTGATTTGTTTTCCAAGAATTTGTTTTCCAGGCCTAATCTACTGTGATCAAGAGCCATTATGGCTCTTTAATGTGATCGAAGATGATTGCTATTCTTTGGGTGTACATATATAAAGGCTATCAACTCGATCTAAGAGTAAGTTCACTCTTAGCTTAGACTGTTTGCAAATTATTTTTCTCTAAAATAACTTAGCCTTTCCCTCAAAAGTCACATGAATGTGCTTTAAAGTTAACTGATTGGTGGAATACAATTGCAAGTTTATTGTTTGATTTAAACTATAAATTCGAGTTAATACGAGCTTCGCTTTTAGCCCTGGCTAAATCTATATATTAATTTACTGTGAGACATGTTTCCTCGATGGGCAAGTATTGCCGACAAGTAGATTTTCTCGTTTTCACTGGGAAGTGAACTGAGATTGCCAATGTTTCCTTCGCAGACTTTTACTTTGGAACTGTTCTTTCGTCAGTACTGGCGTGATGACAGGTTATCTCATAATGTGCCTGAGGGGCAGATAACGTTACCTGGCGACACCGCTGACAGACTGTGGCAGCCTGACACATTCTTTCTAAACACGAAAAAGGGAAAGCTGCACAAAATGACTACCTTAAACAAAGTGATGGTAATTCAGGCCGATGGTAGTGTATTTGTCGGCACAAGGTAAAAAAAAACAAACAAACAGTTTTTCTTAATGCCTTATTATGTATCGCCGGCTTACTTAAATATGGGCATAACTGAGGCTTTCAAAATGAAGGGGACAATTCAGTTAAACTTCGTGACTACCTAAATTCGACAATTTTCTTTTTCATTTACTGATACTTCCGTGCAATAAAGTATAATAAACCATGTTCTAATCGGAGAGGGGCTGTTACAATTTCTTGTCCCCCAGCACCAGCAAACCAAAAAACGGAAGACATGACCCTGGCGCGCCTGTCGACAGTTACTTTAACAAAGTTTTGCGTCGAATTTTGATTGCTTAATCTTATTATGTGTTGACGTTTTGACTCAGGAAGAATTTATTTTACCAGTCTTAACGACAGTCATCGACAGGTCATCAGTCATCTTAAAACCTTGTGAAATTTGTTCTAAAACTGTTCTTGGACCGTCATGACTTTTGACTTATTTTATTTATAATATTTAGAATCACTCTCACGTGTCTCTGTGCAATGGACTTTCGCAAGTTCCCCATGGATCGACAAGTGTGTGAATTGAACTTCTTAAGTTGTAAGTTCCAAAAAAATATACGTATTGATGAAATAAAAACGCTGATGCCAGGTGACTGCTTATGTGTTAGTTGTTATACCTGCTAAAAAAGATCTAAATTTTTCATTTTCTAAATGCCATATTTTCACTATCTTCGCAGCTGTTTATCTTGCCCTTGTGCCTAGATTTTATAACGGGATTATTTAAATCATTCTATTTTAGACCCCGTTATTAATTTGGGAATGGTCTTGAACTTTATTATTTACTAGGCTTCATTCTAATACACTCCATTAGTACGGAATAAGCATTTAATTTATTATCTCTTTTGTTTATATTTTATTCACTGAAAAATGTGCCTTGTTCTTTTAGTCATACCATTAATTGTTTTCTCTTGACTCTTTTGCTTTGCAGACTCTTTTACCACAGATGATATTGTTTACGAGTGGAAGGAGAAAAATAAAACTTTGTCAGAAAGTGTCGAGATTGCTCAATTTACATTTAAACCAGTCAGCGCTCATCAGGACGTCAGCAGCTACGTAACTGGTACTCTATGTGTTGATGTGTCGGTAATTTTAGCGGTTCTCATACATTCTCTCTAACGGCTACCTCTAAAATTGGGCCTGATACAAACTCTCTCACGTTTGTGCTCGTTAAGGCCAGATTTTGGCCGTAACGCTGATTGGCTGCCGGAAGTTGAAAGCGCTTATTCCTCGCGTGGCTGTTTTCGTGAATGATCCGTCGTCGGCGGGGAGAAGGATCGATTTTGCTGTCTTTTTTATTGTTTTATGGTCTTATGCTAGGAAAATATGCCTTAATATGTGTCATGGAAATTCAGAAAATTCATATGGTTGTTCACATCTTCTCAGGATTTGCTTTATTTACGGAACTAATGTGAGTCTATCGCGGAGTTGAATCCCTCTGCAAGTTGTTGACCTTAGGTGCCTTTTGATTTCCCAACAAACGAGTGCAAATCAAAATACTGTCCATCTTAAAACTGGTTTCATCTGAAAGTTTAGCCGGGAATGACTTCTCTGAACGGGGTACGCAAGCGGAGGCTCACTGCGAAAGAAACCTCAATCGCCAACTATGAAGTATTAGACGAAAAAATATCGCATCGCTATTCAAGGAATTTTTGTAGGCATTATTATAAAAACTGGTGACTGGTTGTTTGCCTTCGCTTTTTGTAAAATATAAACCAGGAAAACTGGTGTCCTCGCTCGTTGGCTGTTTGCTTTTGTTTTTAAAGATTTATGCACTGAAAATCGGGGAAAATTGCCGAGGAAAATAGAAATTTCAGTATTTTAAATTCGAACGCGCCTAGACAAAATAATAAAACTAGTAGAACATCGTGTCGCCGTCTTTTGGAAAACTTTTTACCTTCTACGCCAACAGAAATAACCTTCGAGATCTCCCTTAGTCTCTCAAGAAATGTGATTGTGCTGACTGTTTTATTTTTAGCTGAAAAAATTAACAGATAAAAGCTATTTTTTAAGTCAGCCAGTCTGCATTTTTCGCACGCGTGAAAAATTTGCATATTAGAAAAACAAGCAAGGAAGTAATTTTGTTTGGCTGATTCGGCAAATTTCAATCAATCAAAAAAGTGGGCGGCAGGTTTGTATCAGGCTCTCTTTTCGTTTCGCCTAGCCCGCCGGAATGTAATTTTCAAAGCGAAACGAAAGTAGAGCCTGATCTCAAGTTAATGTGTTGGGGATGTGGTCTTGAGACAGCCACCTGATCTATTCCCGGCATAAAAATCGATAGCAATCAAGTGATTTTTATCGATTGACAATGGAAATCGGTGAAAATCGATATACTAAATTGATGTGTCAAATCGATATTATCGATTTTTCATGATTTTAGCGGTATATAACGGAAGTCCGCCATGGTTGATTTTTGGCATAAGTTAGCATCCACGAGTAACAACTGATCAGCAAACATGAAAATGAGAAATGTGGAAACTATTGCACACACAACTTTCTCTCTAAAACCCTTTTTTTGTACTTAATAACAAAATCGGTTCGGTTTTATAATTACATTCAGTACGTTCTCGCAGGCAAGTATAACGAGAAATACAACCTTAGTAAAGATTCCCTAGTCTGAATTTCAGACATCCCCTCGAGTTGAAGGATTTACCGATTTTTATCGATTTATCGATTCATCGATGCCGATTTTTATCAATTGATTACTCCGAGTCCATTGAGATTATCGGTTGGCATTTTCCTTAAATAAAGAATAAAAGCGAGAGATTTTATTCTGGATTTTATATACAAGAGAGTCGACATGCTGTTTGTAAACAGACTTCTCCTTTAATAGCTCCCTATCACACGTTTTCATCAAAGCTCCTTTCTTTTTAATTTGCCAGTGTTTCTCATCAAATGCTTGCATATTTTTAAATGTTTCTTTCTCTTTTCCTAGGTAATTACTCTGTTCTTGGCCTTAGATTTGTGTTCACTCGACGCATTGGCCATTACCTGACAAGGGCTTACATTCCAGCCATTCTCATCGCCTGTATGTCTTGGCTTTCATTCTTCATTGATCGGAAGTCAGTTCCAGCTCGTGTTGCACTAAGCATAATGACTGTTCTCACAATTACTACACTGTTAATCGGTGTTGGTCAGGGATCTTTGCCTGTGGTATCGTATGTGAAGGCAGTGGACTGGTACCTAATTTTTTGCTATATTTTTGTGTTCGGTGCATTTGCAGAATATGCAATTGTAAACAGCATAGAAAGAGGACACAAATCTACAGAGCATCGAGTGGTAAGAATTAGTATGGATGCATTTGTATACTCCGTGGAAATAAAAATGTGATTGAGTCTACTTATACTGTCAACCAAAAATACAAATTTAGTTACAAAATTGGCGAGTAAAATATCCGAGTACCGTAAATCTTTTTGTTTCCACTTGCCAATGCTTATTCTGCGGCGCTGAGTTTTACACTTTCCTCAATGACTGTTAAGCGAAAGTAAAACCGAGTCAGTGCGTACCGATTGACAATTGTCTCCACCGAGGCTTGTTTCGCTTTTTCTACTGTTTTAGAAAAAAGACGCGAGTATCAGATTTGTAATTAGAGTAACAATTACGCAACCCATCGAACTCATCGAACCCATCGATCAAGATTAGCTGCTGCCAAAACATTTGGAGACTTACCACCGTGCTTAGAATAGACCCATTCGGCTAATTCAATGTTGTACCCAATTCAATTCTGCATAGTTATTAGAGGAGACTGGTTATGACAAGCGGCAAACATCAATGATAAAAACAACAGTGCTGCAGTTTATGTTCAAAGCACCGTGAAAGTGCACAATCCTTTGTTTTCTGTTGGCAAATTGTTAGGGAATAAATTAATGCAACGTTTTTATTGGTCAATACAATCAAAATGATAGGAATTCTTTTGAACGTTGTGCACTTTCAGGTCCACAAAAACATATAACAAAGGAGTCTGACGGGTTTCATAACCATTCCACTCAATTAACTATGTCAATTCCTTTAGGAATAAAACGTTTTGTTTCAGGAATTTCCATATCATTTAAATGTGAATGCCACATTATAAAGCAAATACAATACACATAGAACCTTAACCCCAGGAGATTGGAATTGGGTACAACATTGAGTTAGCCGAATAGGTCTTTTTGTCAGTACTTATACTTTTCTGGATAAATTCTACCGCTTTCATGCATTTTAGGAATAAATCAAATTGTAACACTCAAAAATAAAAATTAGCGAAAAGAGTTTTCACACAACGTTTCGATGTCACTATGACATCATTATCAAGTGACAAGATAAAAACTAAGATATATTAAGTCAGATTTTAGTTTTTTTTGTCTTGTCACTTAATAATGATGTTATGGCGACAACGAAACGCTGTGTTCAATTCTTTCTGCTAATTTTTATGCTGTGCTGAGGCAGTTTCTAGAAAATAATTGTTTCCATAGCGACAGCACAACCCATGGGACTCATCTGCTATTTTACATTTAAGCTGTTATAAGTCTTAAGATGTCAAATAATTGACCACTCCAGAAATACCATAACATACCATAATGCTCTTTGTTTATCACCCCAAAATTTTGCATAAGCATTGTTTTCAGTTTCTCTTGGGGCCATTTTAACTCCCAAGAGAAACTGAAGACAATGCTTATGCAAAATTTTGGGGTGACAAACAAAGAGCATTATTGTATGTTATGGTATTTTCTGGAGTGGTCAATTGCGGTGCATTGAAATATGTTAACCTGCCACGTGTTTGACTGCAGAGTGTTACTGAGTCTATTAGCAGTATTTAAATAGTAAGTGGAAGAGCTTCCCTAAACTCTCGGGCTCTTTTGGGCCACCATTAATACGTATACAGTGCCTTCCAATTTAAAGGGTGTTTTTTCCCCTTGGTTCGTGAACATATAATAGTCCCTAGGTAATACGAAGAAAATTGAGAGTGTATACTAGTTTCCACAAAAAAAGAGCTTTATGAATTTCATCTGCCTTTTTTCTGAGTCTCGGTAAAAAGCCGTTCAAAACTAACCCTCGGACGTACAGGAGGGGTGGATGACGACCCCCCCCTCCCCCAATAGGGTTTTTCTCAGTTTTTTAATAGACGATAAAAAAAAAGTACCTGACGTTTTCAGTAGCTGCATGTTCATTCATACCTCGCACACATTTTGAGACAAGTTTAGTGATGGCCAGTCGCTATGGTTACGAGATATGAAGTCATAAGAAGCAGGTGGACAGGCCAATTTTGGGTGAAAATACATGTGTTTTCAACTTCTTTCGACAATAAAAGTAAATCTTGTGGCTAAAATCATGCAAAGCACAAAAAATTACCTTTTTTGCAGTTTTAACCTGATTTCTAATTCTTGGTAAAATCCAAGATGGCGACCACTGTTGTTGACGTCACGGGCCTCCAGCGGCGCCACCGCCCCTAATATATACCTCATCTTGTTAAGAAGATCACAGGCTTTCCACTAAAGGTAAAATCGTTTCAAAATACTGCAAGATATAAAAAACACCGGGGAGGGGTTCCATTCAACACCCCCCCCCTTGCACCACGGTGGGAGTATGAATTTGCGTGTACGTCCAAGGGTGAAATGGGAATAAACACTTGGAATAAATCTTTCAGTCTATTTCTCTAAGTAAACAATAACTGAAGCTCTTTTATCATTTCAGAATTTAACGGAAATCACGAAACCTACGGATAATAACGTCACCGTTTCTTCAAGATCACTGCAGAAGGATCACGCCGGGGAGAGATTTGAGCAACATCCCATCTTTGCATGTCGCACGTCTGAGATGAAACTGGCTAATCTCAAGAACATTTTTAAATGTGGTTCATTAGATGATGTTGCCAAGATAGCTTTTGCTGTTGTCTTTATTATTTTTAATGGGTTTTACTGGTTGTATTATCTGTATTTTACTGCCTAAAAAAATATCTTGCGGGGGATGCTTAACAATCAGCGTTTAAAGAGTCTCAACTCACTTTCAGCTTTTTAGTACTTAGCATAATAAAAAATAACTTAAAATTATAGTTAATTGCTTAGACCTGCTTATGGATTAGGTAACACCTACTCGCGATTATAAAACGAGATCACCGTTTCTCAGGCCCGGGCTGAAGGCACCATTGACAATGGAAGAAGAAACTAAGACTGAGTTCTTCCTACGGCAGCCCCAGTACGTGATCATCAATAAAAATAGTTTGTTAGGAAGCAGTTGTGTTTTCTTAACCTCGGTATTGCTGTGAGAATTAATCAAATCAATTTAATAATGGAGAATGTTCAGGCCCGACATAATCATAAAAAAAAAAATACCCTAAAGGGTACCAGAATCTTGTTTTGTCGGCGTGTCCCAAATCCATTTCCACCCCTAAGATGTACCAATTCAACAACAACAAATTATATAACTGGCACTACAAATCTTAATAGTAATAAATAAGACTTCTCATAAATCTTTATCCTACTAAAGCGTATCAGCCCCTAAAATGTTACCGAGACAACTCTAGCAGCAGTCATTTTAGCTTTTAGCATCCTGAGCGGTACCAATCCACAAATTTAAACCCCTAAAAGGTACGACGAGCAACCTCTTCACTATTATAGGGGAGTACCCCCCGGGGGGGAAGGAGCAAACGTCTCCTTTGCAATGGAAAGAGGTTTTTTCGGTAGCAGTCGATCTACTGGAAGAGTGCGAACGTGAATGGGACTCAACGACCGTTTTAATGAAAGAACATTTCAAAATCAGGTCAGAGTGTCTGCCTATATATTGCCAGTGTCGATAGCGTAGCTTTTAAAAATTCACTGCAAAACGTGAATTTTGAAAACTTTGAATGTCAACGAATATACTCGCGAATAAGAATGAAATCATTAATGTCCATTCATTATGGAATTTATGAATTTTGCACCATTTCGCCAACCATACACCTCCAGTCTTGGTGCAATCTTCAGAGTCCCATTGAATTAAGAGGTCTGAAGCAGTGCAGGTCTGATCTATATCCACAGACTAGAAAAACGTTACTGAGGTAATAGCTTTTGACATGCAGGATCTTGCAGTCAACATTCAAATGCGAGACTAGGGTCTTCGATCTTTAAAAGCCTTCATTGACGATGGCATATTTCAAATGACTGATGACACAGACTCGCTTCCTCAAGGGCTTTGACGTCAGCAATGTCTGAAGAAGGTTCGAGCGATTAATCTTTTCAGCGAAAGGGAATAGAAAGCGGGGAGCAATGCTGATAATGAAAATACTTTCCCAGAAGGACTTTCAGTTTGTTTAATATTTTTCTTTGTTTTGTTTAATTGCTTGTTTGTTTTTCATCCCGATAAACAGAACATATTTCTGAAAAGCACGACATCTTTGATACCAGCTGATACCAGGCTTTCCTCCCCAAAAAGGACAAAAAATTTTTTTGGTAAATGAAATTCACATCAGTATCGCAAAAATCAGGGTAAACTGAGCGTCTCCGTCATTATCAAAAGTCTGGAGGAAACCTTTGCCAAAAAGTTGTCTTGCCTTCAAGCATTAGACCAAGGTCATTTCTGTCGATCTGAAATAAACCGCAGCAATAAAGAAAATAAAGAGACCTGTGGCCTTTTTGAGGTTAGTGCATCTTTTAGTTATTTCTTGAAAATGTTGCCTCCGAACTTGCTTTTTTTTCACAGACCTGTACTATTGTTCTATAAATCTTCAATTAAATTGAAATGAGTTTTTAAAGAATTTCTGCTCTCCGTGATAATAAGATGATAATATATATAGCTTAAGGCCTCTATTGATAGGAGAAACGCTGTGAAATATGCACATGTAATTCGGCGCTTTACAAAAGTATAAATACACCTACACTGCACTTGAAAGGTATATACCCATTTTAACGAGAACCGTGGATACTTGAAAAGCCTGAAGAATTGAATTTAGATAACCTTACACCAACTGAAATGTAAAACGTAAGTGATATTGTCAAAAACAACGCTATAATGCCACAAAGGTGATCCCATTCCTGTTTATTCCACTTTTATTTAAAGATATTTCTCTCTGGATGGTCTACCAATTTTCAGGACACTAAAAACGGTAAGTGTTTGTGTTGTGAATGATTAAATATACACTCACAAATAGCCCCGACACAACATAAAAGCGAAGGAGCGATGGCCTCCGCAACACCAAAAAACTTCCAGAAAACGCAACTGTTCAAATCCTTCTCCAGTGGCAAGGCTGAAAAAAGAAGCCGTTTCGCACTAGTAGACAGATATTTTGTTCACTCTTCTCGACGGTCAGCGTCACCATTAAAATCACAAAAACTATTTGGTTATTTTTCAGTACAATGGGTAAAACGGTTTTCAACCTTTATTAGAATGCTAAGCCTTTCTTATTTAAGTTTGCCGCTAAGGGACGCGTCACGGCAAATTTTTTCATTTAAGAGCCAATGTCTGTAATTTTCGAGAATCGGTTGACAGTCGTGAATTTTTGAATTTCTTCATATATTGCCCAAATAATCTCTATAGTACCCTAATTTCAAAAATCACGTTAAAACTTGTAACAGCTTTTTATTTTTTCAGGAATCAGGCAAAGTTTGAAAAACTCTAAATCGGCGCTCTTTCGAGTATGAAATTAGCGAAAATTGAGCATTTTCTTCGCGCTCGTACATAAAAACGGAATAATATCTCTAGATGAAATCACGTCACAAAAGAGACACACATTTTTACTTTATAATTCAGCAGTTAACTTTAAATAAACCGTTTAAATGTGACTGTACCGGCCGCAAGAAGAAACACGGTTTCAGCACTTTTCAAAAATGGCAAATTTGACCTAACTTCACCATCGTAAAAACCCAGTTGGTACACGGAATTTTAATATGAAACAAGAACTGTATTGAAGCATATCCTTTGCTGTTGTTTGCGTTAAAATATTTCTGGCGGCATTCCAAATGCGCACCGTCGAGAGACCAAAACCTGAAGGGTATTTTGACACCAGGAAAGCGCGTGCAACAAGCAAGTTTCGACGCTTGGAATATTAATCCTTCGCAAACGTAAGTTACTTCGACATTTAAACCCTAGTCAGAGTTGTAACGGTTTCAGATTATATTTTGGCGTTTCTGTGCGGCTTAACATGATTCCTTTCAACTGATTTTTGCGATAAACCATAATGAAGAGACGAATACGCAGTTCAAATCACAGTTAGTAGAGGGGATTATTGTCGAAATACTCGCTTGCAAAAGTTTTAATCGTATTGAAACCTTAAAATCAGAAAAGTTATTTACTTACCTGAATTTAAATGCTAGACGGGGTCACAGTACCGCTAACTAAATTCTGCATCAAGGCAGAATCGAAGTTAAGTTTGCATATGTTTTCAATCTGTCAACACGAGGGAAGACGACATTCCGGAAGTGCGTGACGCGTAACGCGCCGGAAAAGAAATTCCTGGTATAAGTGTTTTACGATGCAAGTCTTTGTTGTATGTTCGTATAGCATCTCGCACATATTCAAACTTGGCTTGTGGCGCCTGTGGCAGCAGTAATGCTGAATGTATTGCGATCATAGAAAAGATGTCGTGAGTCACCTTGGTATGCTCCTGACTTGTTAGTAAGGTGAGTATGTAGGGCAATAACCAAACATCGACCCTACCATGCTAATGATAAAAGTAAGGTTTTCTGCATTTACGTTAGGTGATCTTTGTTTGATCCACAAAATTGGCGCATGAAAATAAGAGTTTTTCCTCACCACCTTTAAATGTTTGGTTTCGAGTAGCGGTGCAACAAATCACGTGGTACCGTTCTAGATCAACCTACTGGCTGCTCATAGAGGGGTCCATAAAGGCACATTGATTGATGACTCTGTATGGCCTGAACTGAAAATGATATAGCAGACGTTTTCTGAGCAACGAATGTGCAGCTTTTACACTCCTCTTTCGTTTCGAAAATAGACGAGCACGCGAGCGAAGCGAGCGAGCGAGAGAGAGCCCCTTGCTCTACTGGTCAATATATCCCCCGCGGCTTTTATTTTCATACGCAAAATCGACGATCTCCAAAGAGAAAATAGATGGACGATCTCTAATGAAAAAGTAGAGGTTCTGTGAACAGGCTACGAAGGTGCTTGCTATTATTTTAGTGAACTTTACAAGAGGTCTCAGGTGATTATGCTAACGTCATGAAAAGTCTACTTTAGGGAAGGAGGAGGAGATGGGTGGGTTGGTTGGCATTGGCTTCTCCATTAGGATCAACCCTACACATATAACAATCCATGTCTTTATCACTACATTTAGAGCTAGAAGACTTTGTTTGATCCACAAAATTGGCGCATAAAAATAAAAGTTTTTCCTCACCACCGCTAAATGTTTGGTTCCGGGTGGCGGAGAACAAATCACGTTGTTCCGTTCCGGAACAGCCTCCTGGCCATGCTGGCTGCTCATTTAAAAGGGGTCCGTAAAGGCACATTAATTGATGACTCTGTGCAGCCTGAAGAAAATTATATACGCAGACGTTTTCTGAGCGACGAAGGTGCTGCCTTTACACTTCTTTTTCTTTTCGAAAATGGCCACGGACTTCTCTCCTCGCTCCTCGCCGATAGGCGGACGTTTTTGCCTGAGAGATACCACCATGAAGGAGTTTTAGCACACAAGTCATTGCAGGTGCAGACCTACGAAAAGGGCATTCTCCATCTGAAATTTTAAATCGAAATGAAAGGCTGTTTTCAGCCTTTTATCTCTTTTCTCCGCAACGTATTTGGTTAAAAGATAGTAAGTAAAATGGCTGAGGCCCTTTAAGGCATTTTTTTCATTTACGCGACGGATTTTGACGTTATGTATGGTGGCCGACAACTGCCATACGTCAACACGACATAAATTTGTTAATTTTAGATTGAACTTTAATTATTTTGAATTGAAAATAAAACGAAAGAAAAACGTCAAATTATTTTGTTTTTCATTGAACTGGAACAGGAGCCCATCAGGCTCCTGACTGGAAATAGATTGATTTTGTAAAATTTCAAAACAAACTTTGTTATTATGAAATGAAAATAAAAATAAAAGTGAAATAGAAGCAGAAGTGAAACTAATTTGTTCACGGCCGGGAACAGCCATTCAAAACAGAAAAAGTAAAATTATTATGTTCGCGGCCGGGAACT